ATTTATTTTTCAGTTTTTGGATACAACGTTTGACTCTTTGTCTTATTTTAAATTTTTCTATGGTTAGTATTTCTATTGTTACTAGATGATAAAACATGAATAGTTCTTTATGAGTGACTTATTTTTTTTAGTTTTTCATAAGTCACAGAAACCTAAAAATAAAGTATTTGTAGGACGGGGGAGTAGTTAGCTAACCAAGAGGAACATGTTTATTTACGGAGTAGGAATAGTACTTCTGCTCCCATTTATTTTATTTTTGTCAATGGAGATGTCATGTCATGCATACACATGATCTGCAATTTAGTCAACTTCAGTGTACTATATGTGTAAGACAACAAAATATATGCATAAGACAAGATATTAGCATGTACAGTACATAATTCAAGATGCCGTTGAAATGCAATAAAATCAAGGCCTCCTTTGGAACGTACTCCCTCCATCCCATGAAAAACCAATCTAGTGTTGGATGAGACGTATCCTTGTCCAGATTCGTTGTATTAGGAAACGTCTCATTTAATATTATGTTAGTTTTTTCGGGGACGGAGGAAGCAGGATTCTTAAAATATATGAAAAAAGAAAGAAAAAACATTGTGTGAAATGTCACACCGTATTGAATCATACAAGAAATAATACTATAGGAATTGCTCAAAACATATGTTTGAATGTATCACAGAAAAACATAAGAAATTTCAAGATTATATGTTGATTTGTTGGGGAGAGAAAGAGAGAGAGACTGCATTGAAAATCTCAAAGGGATTTGAAAACGCATGCTAAAACTCCACCAAAAAATGGAGAAAATTTTTCCATCCTATGTTATTTCCTTTGAAGGTAATTAATCCTACAAACCAAATGACTCATATAGGAATTATTCCTTTGGATTGAATTTCTCTAGTTATCCTCCAAAATTCGTCCAATCCAAATGAGCCCGAAAAGTATAACTAGTTTATATATGATTGAGAAGAAAGAGTCACAACACATCTTTTATATGGGCATATTTTTCACATAAAAGTATAGCTACTTTCATGGTAAATTAATTACGGATCTGCTATAAATATGTCTCCATATTTTTCATGAAAAAATAGCCAGCGTATATTTATATTGTAAGTCCCAAAATTACATATGTAAATCCCTGAATTATATATGTAGTTATACTAATTTGCACATTAAATTAATTACAGTAGATTTATATTCTATTATAATTGCATTTCATATATTTTTACCTAAAAGTCTGTCGCCATATTTTTAGATAGGTCCATTATTTTTCTTTAATTTTGACGTTAATATGGTAGCGAGCGATGTTACGATATTTATTCGCCAAAGTCATCGACAACGCGCTCCATAAAGAGAGAAACAAAACATGCAGCTAGATGGAATAATAGTACTGGCTACGGGCTACCTAGCTATGACTAGGCGAAAGACAAACCATCTTATTAATTAATTAATTAATTAAACTCAAATTAACTGTGCTGCATGGCTATAGCTAGCTAATGGCTGCACAGGAATTTGACCAAACAAGGAGAAAGCTAACATGATAATTGGAACGAGAGATGTAGGAAGCGTATTGCCCACGTGAATGTCTCCCAAACAAACATTCACGTCGAGCCCTCCTCGATGGATCTCTATCGTCTCGCTCTCTCGATTAATTTGCTTAATTTGCTTAGGGTTTGGTAGCTAAGCTAGCTAGGGTTTCTTCTCGATTGGCAGCGTGTGTCCATTTTTAATTTTTTCCTTTCTTTCTTTCCAACGATCGACACAACTGCATGCTGATCTCGATTCTCATGTTCCATTATTGTGTTTGGACCCGTTCTCTCACTATCTGCTCGACAAGTGCGCAAACAAATCGCGCAGTGGAATCGTGTCAGTCCTGCTTGGTCAAAATGGGCGACGTGAGTAGCACACCATGTCAAGTATATGAATGAGGGCCAAGTATTTTCCACTGTTTTTTCTTTCTTGCTCTTTTGTAAGTTGTAATTGTAATTACCCTTTAATTTGAAAACATGTATGATGTGTTGGTGGGGATCAACATAATTTTAAATATTTTGGTTGGATGCATGTATGAAAACCGTTTGTGAGTACAGATTTTTACTTGAAAAATGGTTTCCTAATGTTGTAATTATATATCGGGTTTTCGAACGTTTTACAATAGATGTTAACATTCAAAGTTACATTTAGAAAACCGTATCAATGTCTGAAACAACACACACACACACACACATATATATATATTATAACTAGATGTTAATAGTATTTTCCATGAAACTGAAATAGTGTATATATGCAATAATTCTGTAGGGGCCGGGTTTCTTTCAAGTGAAATAGTGTACGTACGTAGTAAGAAATCAAAGGAAACCCAAATAAAATATGAAAAAGGCAACTATACTTTGTCAAGAATATTAGCTCACGACAACACCGCATGGAAGAAAACATGTTCCACTCTACTCCACTGCCTACGATTAGTCTTAATTAACTCCCTCCAACAACTGATCTCTGCGTTAGACTCTTCCAAATTGTAATTAATGTCACTAGAGACAAAGCTATATAGTTTTGCTGCTGCAAAGCAGAAGTGTACTGTACATGTCAACAACATTGCTCTGGCCTTAGCAGGTCCTACGACCAGCAAATTGCTGTTATTATTTCCATATCCATGGATGCTTCATCTCGTGCAGTGCACATGATTGCATGGTTTCTGTAAACTAATCGAGCAAAAGAATCTGGTTGCAGTGTGTCTGTCACAACTTGCAATACACATCTTGAATTTATTTGTCTCATGAGTTAATGCGCCCTTCTGAGAGCAGTGGTACGGTTTGATGCTGTCATGCAACTAAACCTACACCCTCAATTACTCCCTCCATATCAAAATAAGTACACCGTACAGGTCAAATCTTTAAGCTACATAGTTGCACTTATTTTGAAACTGAGGGAGTAAAAAAATACTAATCTATATTATCTTTTATTAAGTTAGAACCCACTAAATCTAAAGTTCAATATATAACCATGCCACATCAATATCCACTAGCAATAATTGCATATTAGCTCATCCAAACATGCAACATGCATAATCTATAATCTATTGAATTATACAAATCAATATGCAAGCATATCCTATCATCACCACTCACATTATTTTCGTTATATTTCAACATATATATCCATCATTTTTATAATAATTAAACCATATACATATCAATATATTCCGCATCAAAGGGAGGGTGTTATTTGTTCGTTTCATGGTTAGTACTGATAAACCCTGACATTTCATTAATTTTTTTTCTATCTTATGCTTCCTGCAATGCAAATCTTGGCCAACAATTTAATATTTCATCTACAATCTCCTATAGAATGTACTGAATTTATTTCTCTCCAAACATGGTTTCGTAAACCAATTTAATTTATTGTTAATAACTAATATCCTTTTTCTCCTACCTCGATTGATGAAAGAAAAATATATTGAAGATTATATTGCTTCATAATTAATTCCTGCAGCAAAGTGTGAGGAATCACCTAGTTTCTAACTATGAATCAAAACATTGGCATGTCCAGGTTTACAGATAAAAGTTGATTCATTTTTGAACGGAGGGAGTACTGAACAATGACTATGATAGCAAGGTATTCTTCTTCAATGCAAAAAGTAATGGAAACCTTTCTCTTATAAGAAATGGTTCAAAAATCGCTATTCCACCTTTTAGGTACTGTGAAAAGTGATACATGTGAAGATCGTGCATTTCAGTAGGTAAAATCTGAAAATTCCTACATATTTATTTCCAGCTACTTTATTGGATTATTACTACATATTATTTACTCGATCTACGAAAAATATGTTTGATTTTAAAAAAATTCTTCTATTGAATTTATTTAGTTTATTTATTAAATCCCTATAATCAAGGAGAACAATAATCTAGTGAATGATCTACTTTAAACTGGGTCATGTTCTGGTAGAACTAGTAGAAGGTGAGGCCTAACTAAACTTGAGGTGATATATTAATACAGTTTGTTTGTATATGCTCATCCTTACCATGCATTATAAAAAAAACAAATCTAGGTAAAACATAAAAATACATCTTGATTAATCCAGAAAGTTGAGAAACTAAAAATTTAAGTTGCATTAAATTTACATATATTAAAAAATTCTAGCCTATATATGTGGCAAAAGATATATCATGAAAAACATTGGTCTCGGGAGAAGGGAATTCTGGAGGGTCCTTGCCACAGCAGCAAACTCAAAAAAAAAACTATATATCATATATATTTGTATAGTTAATTAGCACTACTGCAGTCTGCAGCTGCACGCACGTACCCTTGGTATCACGCGACGGGGAGGAGTAAACTCTACACTGCTCCATCGATTCTTTGCTTCAAGTCCACGATATACTATAGTAATTTGTTTGCATCCCTAGCTAGTACACATAATTAATCAAGAATATTAATTATAACTAGTCTGTTTTATCTTTCCTTAATTATATATCTTTCACCGATCACCTCTATTATTCCATATAGCACGAGTCAAATCCGACCATCGATCACATGCATGCACGCATGCATGAATGCATATGGTGCATGCTGCAACCAATTAATCCTCCTGTCGTCGATCGCAAAGAAATTATTGATCAAAATCTGACAGGAATTAATGGTTTGGCGTTTGTACTGATAAGATTCTTCCTTAGCTAATTGACGGTGACTTTGATGATGCCCTTGTGTCCAATGGAAACATCGCACCTGTGCCCATCTCCATAGCTTGGTTAATCTCTAATTTAACTAATTAGAGCCGATCTGAAACCGTACTAGTCCCCTTTGTCTTGCAGCTGTCAGTGACAGATTATATGGGAGAAAGCGCTAGCATGTAGTATCGTTCAGATTAAGTTAGGTTTACTTTTTACCCTGTTACCAGATTAACTTTTGTTAGTTTTTATTAATTAACCTCTCTCTCCTGGTCAGGGGGGTTGGCATCTCTTGAGAAGCTAACCAACAGCAGCAAGTGATTAATTACCCCTCTCGCCTCGTGTCTCAACACCAGGCAGGCATGCCTTGTCGTCGTCGTTGTCCTCCGTTAATTAGTTTCTACTATACCCTACCGTGTCTGTGTGTACATGTGTCGCTGTTTAGGTTATAAATATAGCTCGTTTCACACTCTCATGGCGATTCCTTCATATTCTTAAGCTCAAGCTGATCAAGTGTGTACTAGCTAGTAATTAGTCCTATCCTATATACTATAGTAGCTGGGTTGCTCGGCTCGCCGGAGATCTCCGGCCGGCTGCCGGCGGCGGTGAGCCGGTGACACTAATCACATATCGATCGTACACGCGCGCGTATTACGTGTGTGAAGGAACATTAGATAGATAGAGAGAGAGAGGGGATGGGCGGTGGGTCGCCGTGCGCGTCGTGCAAGCTGCTGCGGCGGCGGTGCACCAAGGACTGCATCTTCGCGCCCTTCTTCCCCGCCGACGACCCCCACAAGTTCGCCATCGTCCACAAGGTCTTCGGCGCCAGCAATGTCAGCAAGATGCTCCAGGTATTGCACGAACACGTATGTATAAGCTAGGTCGTCATCAATGGCGGCGCCACCGTGCATGCAAGAGCTTACGTCGTCTGATGTGATCGTGTGTTCCCAACAATGCAGGAGCTGCCGGCGCAGCAGCGAGGCGACGCGGTAAGCAGCCTGGTGTACGAGGCGAACGCCCGGATGCGGGACCCCGTCTACGGCTGCGTCGGGGCCATCTCCTTCCTCCAGAACCAGGTGTCGCAGCTGCAGATGCAGCTCGCCGTCGCGCAGGCCGAGATCCTCTGTATCCAGATGCAGCACCGCGACGACGGCGCCGCCCACCAGCTGGACGCCGCCGCCGACCACCACCCGCTGCTGGATCAGCAGCAGCAACAGCAGATGGTCGTGGACGCCGCCGACGCGGCCGCCTCCTTCCTCGTGCAGAACGGCGGCGGAGGCGGAGGCCCCGCGGCGCAGCTGATAAGCGGCTACGGCTCGCCGGCGGCCGGCGGCGGCGGTGGCCATGGCGTGGTGCACTACGCGGCGGCGCAGGAGCATCTCAAGAGGGAGTCGCTCTGGACGTAGCTAGTCAGGTCAACGCATGCACGTTAGCTTGGCGTACGTGTAGCCGAGCCGTGCTAGACTGCTAGCTAGCTAGGGCTAGCTTTGAATTAATTAGGTCGGTAATTAGTTAATTCTGATGACTCTTCTGTTTTTTTTTCTCTTTTCCTCCCCAGTTTCTTGCTGTAGCGTATGTAGTGATGTACTTGTGATCCAAATCGAACTAGCTAGTTGGAGATCACTCTATTTTCATTGCGGAATTACTCTCTTCGATTATATAATTCTTGACGTTTTCAAAGAAGTTAGAGTTAAACTTTTATAACTTTGATTAGCTATAAATTAATTAATTAATTAATTAGTTTAAAGTAACGAGAAAAACACATATAGATTTGTCTTACAAAGTACTATAATAAAAGTAAAAATAAATTTATTTATTATATATATCATACTAGAAAAATATAGTCAAAAATATATTTTGGAGACGGTGCCATTGTCCAAAACGTCAAGAATTATGGAACTAGAGCGAGTACTAGAAAACTTCTGCAAGCTTTTGCTTCCAAAATTTTCAGATTTGTGATCATCAGATCGCCTCAAGATGTGTGCGTGAAGGGAATAAATTGCTAAAAAGAAATTTTCACACATGTCACAAGTAAAATCTCGGTGCTAGCCAACAAAACCATAGTTGAATACAAATTTTACATAAGTTATATCGTAATTATAGTATAGTTACAATACAGTTACGGTTACAGTGTAATTACAATGTAATTATACTGCAATTACATCTAAAATTTTTTTACTCAATAAACTTGCGGTAGATTTTTAGGTACTCTCTTTTTATTGTGATCATGTGATCTTCATGTGCTCTCCAACATTGTGTTCTTAAGTTTTTCTCATTTATGGCCAAAATGGGTGCCTTTTGCGCGTTTAAAACAAATTTAATCTTAGAAAAAATAATATGTGAAACGATCTATCACAGCCTAATTACATTATGTTTTACAAGAAAAATGGACAAATTAAACATTACCTGAAACCCTAAAGTGATGACTATGCATGTATGAAGTGAATAAGTGTGACCACGAAGAAGGCTTATCCTCATGGAATTAATGTATGAGAAATTAAAATGAAGTTCACACTGGATATGTCATGCATGAGGACATCGTTAACGCGTGACCAATTGTTAATTTAATGATTTTGCTCTAATTAAATGTGGATAATTAGGAAGAAGTATCATGCTTGCATGTGACCAAGAGGTCGATCTCACCACATGGATACTTGATTAAATTAGAACACTATAAATTACTAATCACATCTTCCTTATCAGACAAACAACTGTCCCCCTCCCTAAGATCTCCAAATGGGCGGTGTTCATATACGCGTGTACGTTTTAAACTTAATTGATTTAGGTTTTTCATGATCTTTTAAACCTTGGAGTATCTAATCTTGATTCGCCTTCGTGCAGTCACGATTCGTGCGAATCAAAGATTTAGTTAGCTAGATGAAAACAATAGGTAGGCCGGACATATATTTTATAGTGGATAAAATTTATGAAGAGCCCTATCAAACATTATATAGAGTAATCATACATTGCTAAATTGCTTTCATGGCTTTGCTGCAAAGTTTACAAAGTGCAGAAAAACATTCCTCTCTCAACTTCTGACTAAACTCGAAATCTAGGCTAAACCCTAACTTTTTTTTCAAAATTATTCTCTCTCAAAATCGATACCGAGAGATCTCAACCCCTCTTCTATTCATACCCTAAGGTGGTAGCATAAAAGCCGTGAATCCAACATAGATAAGTAGTCCTAATTCCTTAGGAAACTCATCCTTACATCAACTTCTCCCAAATTAATTCCCGATCCATCATCGTCAATACTCTCCTGAGGCATCAAGGCGCACCTACACATGAATAAATAGGAAACTATATTCGAGCACAAAGTTCTTTCCCAACTTGACTCAACATCAGCACACAATAGTATAACTGTCGACGGTCGTTAAGTACAAACTTTAATTGTCAACTCCTGCATAAAAGAACTAAAATATTATATCAAAACTTAGTAGTAGGGGTTTATTACTAATTATTTCCACTAGTTTTGGTTAAAATAGGTATGCAGGTCATTTAAGGAAAAAAAATGCGCCCGCCATGCGATAAAATGAACCTCCGGCTAATCATATGCTATTACAAAGATTGGAGGGCCCACCTAATAGTCAAAACCGACCTAAAGTGGGACCAAACCTCCCTCAATCGCTAAGGGCCCACCTGTCAGAGACTGGAGAAGGCGGTGGCCAGGGGAGGCTGGTCTGGTTTAGCCGAATCATGGTTTGGCCAAACCAAACTTGGCACCTTCAGCTAACACCTTACACGTGGTGACTCCCCATTGGTCCTCAATGACGGTTAAGGGATGTTACCGACATTTCCAACTGCCTAGAACTGTCATTGGCACACTATATAAGGAGGAGGCTTTCACACTTGTAACACACACAACTTAAGCTCAAGTAGAGTATAACTCACTTGTTAGCTTCACTTTAGTACGTTGGTTTAGTGAGAGAGTGAGGGGAAGCTATGGAAGGAGTGCCCCAAGGTATCGAATAATTCTTGCCGAGAATTTTTGGAGGAGTGCCGGGTTTATTGGCATTCTTCTAATGGAATTTCGGAGAAGCGTTGCCTTCTTCTCGTTTGTACCTCGGGTACCTCGGCGGATGCTTCCTTTTATAAATACTAGGACTTTGGATAAAGAAGAAAATTCCTACGCAAGGCTAGAGTAGTAATCAATAACTTAGGCGTGGTGTCTAGATTAGCGGTTACCTTTGTTTGTTGTGTGCTCTACGGAAAGTGAGGTATGTGGCAGGTGGTGATAGCCATATCCATCCTTTGCATCCCTCCACGTTCAGATACATCATAGAACTCAAGGCCGGACTCAGCCTGGCAGACCAGGGGAGGGCTAGTGCCCGAATCATTTGATAGAGTTTTACCTTTAACTTAAGCTAGCTAATTGAATCCATATGAATCCTCTCTATCCAATCTTGTTATTAGTTATTGTCCTTGGATCTAATCCTGTTCTTAGATAGTATACACATGTTCCTTGTATTCAATACCCTTGTAATACTTTAAGAGGAAGTGCATGCTACGTCGGTATCTGTGCACTTGCGGATTTATCTGTGATCATAAGAAATACCAACAATAATATATGATAGAAAATCATCTATAAGTCATAAACATGAAGAAATCATCGTATGTCAAGAAATCAACCTGAAAACTGGCTCCAACATGGAGCTAACTGGTCAGACCATCGGGTTGGCTGGTTTGATTGCAACTATAACTCCGGTTTGACCGGCGCACACTACCTGATCTGACCGCAAAGCAAAACAATTGTTCCCCCGAAAAACAAAAACATTGTTATCGTAGTTGTCTGGTCTGACCGGCCAGATCTATAGAAAAACTACTTCGCTAATTATCCACCAAGGCACCAAAAACGTTTTAACTTTGGTCAAAGTCAAACTGTTTCAAGTTTGACTAGTTTATAGACAAAAATAGTAATATTTATAATACTAAATTAGTATCATCAAATCAATAATTGAATATATTTTCATAATAAATTTGTCTTGGGTTGAAAATGTTACTACTTTTTTCTATAAATTTGGTTAAATTTAAAGTAGTTTGATTTTGACCAAACTCAAAAACGTCTTATAATCTGAAACGGAGGGAGTAATTCATATGCCAATTGTTCATCACAACACATATATATCAAAACATTGATTTCACACAAGCAAGTTTTTTTCCTACTTATCACAACTCTAGTTTCTTTTCTAAATCTATTATATTATTAAAACAGCTTTGAAAGGAGACACCACGTTTGCTGTGGGGGCTAGAAATTCCCACATTAATCGGAGAAAAAAAGGAGAGTCCAATAGCTGAAATTCGGAATTAAAAATAAGCAATATTAAAAGAAGAGTCCATATAAGAACCCAATACAAGTTTAATCAAAATTCATAATAAAAATAAAATAAAATCTGAAATTAGAAAAGAAAAGGAGAGTCTAAGTAGGAATACAATTTAAAAATAACTAAAATTCGGAATTAAAAATAAGGAATATTGAGAGAAGAGTCCATATAAGTTCCCAATACGAGATTAATTAATATTCAAAATAAAAATAAAAATTAAATCCGAAATTAGCAAAAAGAAAAAGAAGAGTTCAAGTAGGAATACAATTTAAAATTAACTAAAATTCGGAATTATAAAATAGCAATACTAAAAGAAGAATCCATATAAGAACCCAATATGAAATTAATTAAAAATTCAGACTAAAAAATAAAATAATATCCAAAATTAGAAAAAATAAAAGAGAGTTAAAGTAGGAATATAATTTTGAAACAACTGAGATTCAAAAATAAAAAATAAAAATATTAAAAGAACACTATACAGTATTAATTAAAATTTGAAAAAAATAAATTCTAAAATTAGAAAAAAATATTTCAATTAGGAATACAATTTATAAATAACTAAAATTGGTGATAAAAATTAAAGACTATTGAAATAAAAGACCATCTAAAAACATGACAAGATAAATTAAGTAACATGCTTATAAAAGAGTAAAGTGGTGGCAGTTAATACGACATATAAAAACTATTAATAAAACACCAAATAAAATCCTAATAACGATTAAAAGGAGGGACGACAGGCATGCCGTGAAACAAACGGGCAAGGTGATTAATCATAGTTGATTTTTTAAATCTCAATGACAATAAAAAGGAGAAGCAACAGGCGGGGTGTATAGGAGTATAGTTGTAGAGCTGCCAACGGTTGGCGGAACTTTTAGAAGAAAAAAAATGAATTCCAACGATAGTTATATTTTATTTTTAGAATCTCAATGACAATAAAGAGTAGACAGCGGATAGGTCATAGAGGAATATAGTGGCATCGTTTAATGGGACTTCTAAAAATTATAAAATATGATACCCAACAAGACAATAAACTCTAAAAACTACAAGGTCCAATTTTTAAAGGTTCGGAACTTCTAAAAGTAAAAAAAAAACCCAATGATAATCATGTTTGATTTAAAAATCTCAATGACAATAAAGAAGGGAGGCAGTGGATGAGCCATAAAGGAGTACAATGCCAAAGCCGCTGACGGTTTGGCGGGACTTCTAGAAAGTAAAAAATGAACCTGAACGAAACTACAAGGTCCAATTTTTAAACGTTCGGAACTTCTAAAAGTAAAAAAAAAAAACCCAATGATAACCATGTTAGATTTTAAAATCTCAATAACAATAAATAAGGGAGGCGGCGGGCGAGGTATAAAAGGAGTACAATGCCAAAGCCGCTGACGGTTTGGCGGGACTTCTAGAAAGTAAAAAATTAACCTGGACGATAATTATGTTCGATTTTTAAAATCCCAATGACTAAAGAGAAAAGGCAGCGAACGGGACGTAAAGGAGTAATGGCAGCGTTTGACAGGACTTCTAGAAATTATAAAAACGAAACACAATGAGACAATAAATTCTAAAAACTACAAGATCTAATTTTAAATGGTTACAAGGAGAATGAATAGAATTAGTGGTAGATCGAGCAAGCAAATAAATAATGATATGACAGAAGTAAGGGGTAGCAGCTGGTGTGACTTTTAAAAACTATATAATTAGAAATACGGGGATGATAAAGTTTGATCTTTCAAAGTCTTAAGACAACGAGATAGCTATTTAATAAATTTTAGAGTAATTTTAAGTAAAATCATACTAAAAAATATATGATTTTGTTTGGGGGCTAGCCGCGCAATTGCGCGGGGCACCCAGCAAGTTTGTTAGAAGTAAGTAGAAAATAAACTATTCAATGGATTTTTATACTTGTGGACTATGGCAGGATTGTCCGTTTGCATTTGGAAAAAGTACACTGAAGGTCCCTCAACTTGTCATCGAGTTACAAAATCATCCGCAAACCGCAAAACCGGATACAACGCATCCCCAACTTATAAAACCAGTGCAAATCCTTCAGCGGTTTTGACCCTGGTTTTGGCCGACGTGGCAGCTAAGTCAGCGTGGGACCCACGCGGGCCCCACATGTTAGGATGGCACGTCAGCCTCTCCCTTCCTCTCCTTTCCTCCCCACGTGACTGTGATCGCGGCGCCGCTGAGGTGAAGGCGGCGGTCGATGCGCGTGGCGGCGCCGACGCCCGCGCCACCGCGGCCAGTGCTGGGCGGGTTCGAAAAGGAGCAGGAGGACGTCGCGCTCGCCCCCTCCTCCTCTCCGACTCCAATCATCGCGCCGCCCCCCTGTCCTCTCCAACTCCCCCTTTCCCGCCCCTTTGGCGCCGCAGGCCTCGCCGCCTGCCGCCCATCTGGCGCCGCTCACCCTCGCCGCCTGTGGCCATGGTGTTCGGCCCCGCCGCCGTGCAGAGGTACGGCCCCGACATGACGCTGCGGGAGGCACTGGATGGGAGGGGAGACATCTACCGGACGCTGCTGCGGGAGGCCACGGCGGTGCTCCTCAACGCCTACTACAACACTCCCGGCGTCGCAGCCGCCGCCGCCACCGCGCTCGCCCGCCGACGCCGCCTTGCCCCGCCGCAACGCGGGAGCAGGAGGGCGTCAGCGGCAGGATGGCGGCTTATAGGGACATTGACGCGGTCGTGGCTGCTGGGGAAGAAGAACATGTAGCAGGAGTCCTATCTTGTAGTCGTCTCGTCGGTGGCGGCGACGTTTCAACGGAGCTCGCTTGCGTGGTTTTCTTGGGAGAGGACAGAGGAGCAAAACAATTGCGTGGATGATGTATTGACCGGCGACGGCGGCGGTGACCATGGATGTCAGCAAAACACAAGGATCAAAACTCTGAAAACGCTCACGCTCACTCTTCTCTGAATATTGCAGGACTGCAACAGTAGTCTGAAGAATTTCAGGAAACGTGAAAACTAAAGAAAGAACAGATTAGGAATTTTGTGCAGCGAAACTTCTGTTGCTTTTCGGTTTTCTCTATTTATTCTCCTCCACCAAAATATCCAACAACGGACGGGTGGATCGTCGTCTGCACAGGCTGAGGTGGCCTGTGATCCCTCTGGTATCGCCGGGTAACTAGGTGCCCGTCGTGGCGAGCGCGTGTGCGCTCGTCGCCACGGAGACCGACAAAGCGGGGGCAGTAGGGGCGCCACCGGGGACGGTCGTGGCGAGCCACCTGGTCGCGCAGCGACCGACCGTGGCGAGGGCCTGAGCCGAATGCCCCAGGGATGGCGCCGCCTGGCTGGGACTGACACTCTCGACCACGGCCGGGCGCAGGGAGGCGGCGGCGTGTACTACATGGTTTGAAGTGGGGATTGAGCAGTGGTTTGATGCTGCTTAATTGAAGGAGCCATGGCAGCTGTCCTCTCCCGCCGGCCGCTGCCGCTCCACTCCTGCCACGCAGTAGAGGGGCAGTAGGCCAAGTTGGCCCCGCGCGAGTGCCGCCGCCGCTCCACCACCTCGCCTCCCCCAAATCCCATGCCCGTCGCCTCCTGCCCGACGAGCCGAAGCTTAGCCGCCCTTAGACAGGCCCCGCCTCCGCCTCCGCGCCCACCGCCATGCTCCGGCCCTCCCTATGCTCCCCCTTCGCGCTCCTTTGTACTCCCGCCACTGATGCCCTCGTGCTACTGCATTGCCGCCGCTGGCGCGTCGCTCGTCGCCGGCCGCCGGACCTCCTCCTCTCCCGTCTCGCCCCGCCGACCCTCCTCCCCACCCGTCAGCCGGCCCGCCGCCTGCCCAAATGAGAAGAGAGAGAGAGAGGATGAAGGGAGAGAAGGGAAAGAGAGGGAGAGGGGTGATGACGTCGTCACGCTGACACATGGGGCCCACGTGGGTCCTATGCTAACTCAGCTGCCACGTGGGATAAAACTGGATCAAAAAATATAAAGTGAATCAGTTTTATAAGATGAGGATGACATATATCTGGTTTGGTGGTTGGAGGATGATTCGGTCGATAACAAGATGAGGGACATTTGATGTACTTTTTTTTTTTTGCATTTCGCCTGCTTATGGGTTGTGGGCGCTTGTGCACATATGCTTAGCACGGCCTGCTTAATGCATCGTTTGGCATGGCCACATGGGCCAAATCCCGGCTTTTCCTGGGATGGGCCGACCTGAGGCTAAATGTAAGCCTATCCCCACGGATGGGCCAGTAAATGAACTAAATTCCCGGCCCATTTACGATGGCATGTGTGGGCTCCCCGGTCTCCGCCGCCGTTCTCTGACATGCCATGCCATTCTCGCCGCGCCGCCTCCTCCGCCGCCTCCGCAGCATGCTCCCCTCCGCCGCCCCCGCCGCCGCCGCCGGAGAAGAAGAAGAAGAAGGCGAGCGGCGGCCGTGGGAGCCGCCCTTCGACGCGTCCCAGCCGGCGCCGCCCATCTCCTACCCCATCACCACGCTCGCGGCGCTCGCCTCCCGCGCCTACCTCTCCGAGGCCGGCAACTTCCACCTCCCCTTCAACCGCGCCTCCTCCTCGCCCCGGGCCGCGCCGCTCCCGCCCCGGCGCCGCATCCTCGCGTGCCACGACTTCCGGGGCGGGTACCGCGACGACGCGGCGCCGCAGGGGGGCCACGACCCGGGCGCCTACGCGCTCTGGCACTGGCACCTCATCGACGTTTTCGTCTACTTCTCACACTACCTCGTCACGCTCCCGCCGCCGTGCTGGGTCAACGCCGCCCACCTCCACGGCGTCAAGGTGTGCGCGCCCCCTCCCCAATCTCCAGCTTCTTGGGAGTTCTTGTTACTTCGATTGAGTGGATCGGGATCGGTTCTCGCATCCGCTCGATTGACGTTTGTTTCTGCTTGGCGGTCTGTGAGCGAAGGTTTTGGGGACGTTCATCACAGAGTGGGAGAAAGGTGCAGAGATCTGCGAGGAGATGCTTGCTACGGAGGCTTCTGCCCAAATGTATGCTGAAAGGCTAACAGAGCTGGCTGCTTACTTGGGCTTTGATGGCTGGCTGGTAATCACTTTCATGGTATCTTGAGTTTGATATTGTATTCTAAATGATACTTTTTGAGGAAAATATGCAATGTACCAACTGAAAAGATGATTCACGTTCATTAAATGAGATTTTGTGGAAGGTGGGAGTATGTAGAGAGAACAAAATATTTAAATTCACTGGTCACCTTAAGTGTGGAGAAATTTGTTTGATGGCATTTTATTAATCATCCATATTATTGGGCATGTATCTGTCACTGATACTGAATCATCTTTCAGATCAATATTGAGGTTAAACTCGACATACAATTCATTGATAACCTGAAAGAATTTATCAATCATCTAACCAAGACAATGCATGCTGCTGTTCCTGGATCATTAGTCATATGGTAGGGTTGATATTTCCTACTGTGTTATAAGAAGGCAGCTTTTAGATGTAAAACTTTGTTTGGTGAGTTGCTGTGTCTTTGACTTGGCTCTGCAGGTATGATGCAATTACTATAAAAGGTGCCCTTGACTGGCAGAATAAGCTTAACGAGTATAACAAGCCATTCTTTGACTTGTGTGATGGACTGTTTAGCAATTATACTTGGAAGGTAATCCTCTCTTTTCTTGTTCACCTTCTGCAAACTGAAACTATGGCCTGTTGAAATTCACATGACATCTCCAGGCAAAATATCCACAAGAATCAGCTGTAGTTGCTGGTGAAAGGAAGTACGACGTGTACATGGGTATTGATGTTTACGGACGAAACACTTTCGGTGGTGGTCAGTGGAATGTATGTGAAAGGATCTCCAAATTTTGTCTCGTAATGTTCTATTATCACCAAGACAATTACATGCATTGTTAACAGAAAACAACACCATATTCCTTTTTGTCTCTGCTTTAGACTGGCAACTGAATCAGTGAAGCCTTTCAGTGCAACTGTAACATTTTTCTTGCAAAATCAGCTGTTAAATAAATGACTTCTACACCAGAGCAGTAGATCATCCTTCTCTCCTTTACTTTTATTTCCATGTATTGTAAAATGTAAATGAATTCTATTCAACTTCTCACCTTCTATTTTCGGCTTAACTACCTATTGTTCTAGACCAATGTTGCCCTTGATCTACTCAAGAAAGATGATGTCTCAGCTGCCATATTTGCACCTGGATGGGTATATGAAACTAAGCAACCACCTAACTTTCGGACTGCACAAAATCGGTATTGAAGTGCTGGCTTCCTTCAATTGCATATTGCATATGCTCTTTCTGCTAAGTATTTGCCTAAAAATTATGCAGTTGGTGGGGTCTTGTTCAAGAATCATGGGGTGTTCTTCAGAGTTATCCAAAACAGTTGCCTTTTTACTCTGATTTTGATCAGGTAGATTCTCAGCATCAACTCATTGTTATTCTGGTACTAATTGTCTGAATACCATTCCTTTGTATAGCAGATGAGTCAATACTTGTATATCTTTATTCCTTAAAAAGAAGACTTGGTGATGGTGTTGGTATGCTGTATGATCATCCTCTGTGGTAGGACTCGTCTAGAACTCTAGATGTGTGTTGTTTGTAGATACTTTTTTTTTAATTACTGCATGTTCACATGTATATGGATGGGCAGGATGGCTGGTTGATTTAAATATTTATTTTAGATTTTAGGACCATTAATTTGGTATTTAAAATTATAATATATGATATACATGCTTATTTGGAAATGGTTGCAGCCAGGGCACTGTGTTATTATACTGAGAATTGTTCATGATAATTTATGTAGTAGCTATCTGCAAAACCTTTCCACTCATAAATGCATTGTTTAATGCGAACTTATAGAAACAAATAACTATTTGAAGATATGTTCTTCTAATAACACTCGGGTGCTCATCATGGATTGTCCATCTTCAGCAGCATGTACATGACAATTACTTCTTCAGGCATTAAAGTGCCATTATGCAATTTTTTTGTTGTTAAGTATTCTCCTCCACGGGGTTCTCAAACATCCAAATTTTCTATGTTCTCTTTTCCTTTTCTAATGTTTTGGCTTCTGAACCTCTACTTTCTTTCAGGGTCATGGTTACCAGGTATCAATTGAAGGGGTCAAAGTTTATGGTGCTCCATGGGACAATATTTCTTGCCAAAGTTTCCAGGTAGAGTGCTGTCAACAGATTTTGTAGAATCATCCCTTCTGTGTAATATTGTTTATAAGTTATGCTCTATACATCCTAGCATTTGCTCGATCTAAACAATTCCATATATACATACCCATACTGTGTGATTAGCAGTTACTTATTTGACTGATATGTTAATTATGACTTTTGTAAATATGGTTGTTACTACGTTCTCCAATAAAGAAAGGTTTTACATTCTGATGCTAAAACTTTTATTTTAGTAGCGTGACTAGCATCACCTGTCGTTTTTGTCTCAAGTTTGACGCTTTTCTATGAATTTCACTTCTCTCAACTCATTCATGTTATTGTGATCCATTTTTAGCCTATGCTGAAATATGCTGGAGATCGAGGTCTGCAAACTGTTATCAAGTAAGCTCATTTTTAGTTTAACATGCATTAGGGCACACAGACAATAGCCTATCTAGCTTGTTACTGACTGCTAGGCTATTAGCCTATCTTGCACTGTATTTCTTATGAAGTGGTATGGGAGAAGAAATAGAGAGCTTGTTGCTTGCATGAGTAACAATCGAGCTGTCTGATTAAGACGTGAATAATAACATAAGCATTATTGAAGGATGAACTTGTCATTTTGTCGGATCGTTTCCTAGAGAATGTGCAAGAATTTATTTACTATGCAGCTCTTTAGTAATTATATTCTCTTTCCTCTAGTAATTATCAGGAATATCCTTTCGTGAATTATGTTGTTTTGATTTCCTATAGTATTCTCAAATCTATTTTCTAATATTTGTTCTTGAAAAGAGAATCGGTTTACAATTTATTTGATGACCAATATTTGACTCATCATCTGCCTGCATTTTTGGTTTTTTTTCTCTTCTATAGCTTTATTATTTAAAATTAAACCTCTCCAGGTTTAAAATAAACAAAAACTAAACCTTGTATAACATTAGACAATGTCAGGTTTTTTGTGCCATGCTGTATGATAAGGATATCGCAAAATAACGAATTCAATATCATTTTATCTAAACATAATATTTCACACCAAAATGGAAGGATGTCAAGTTCATGTATCTGTCTCTTGAGGCTGCAAGTGCTGGTGTCCTGCAGTTTCCCTCTTTAGGGGCTGATTAGTTCCCTTCCTGAAATGAATGGCAAAGCTCCTGTGCCCTTAGTCCCTCACTATGAAAACAAAATGAGATGAAATAAATCCATTTTACACCCTGCACTTGAAAGTCTAGAAATCAGCCTGGAACTACAAAACTTGACTTTTTAGCTTTTACCACTCCAAACTCATGAAACCATTCAGTTTTTAGTGTTAGGCTGATTTTCCAAATTACATGTTTTCAGTTGGCATAGTAGCTCAACCCAGAAATAAGTCTTCACTAGCCCTGTGCCAACAAGAACTCACTGTCAGAAGGCTTAGGGATATATAGTGATGGCGAAATACAGTGATATGTAAATGCATGTCTGGACCGGTCAAGGGTTCCATGATAATTTAAGGTTATGTAATGGAGCATAACTGTCAGAAGGCTTAGGCATATAGGGAGGTAGGGATGGATTTGAGAATTGAGAGGTGTTGGAAACTTTCCCATAGTCAAATCTTTCATATTTTGTCCTACAACCATGCCATGAACAAATATAGCAGCAAATATGAACCAATTTTCATGTTATTTTCTGTGTAAGCATAAAGTATAAAAAAAATGGATGGACAACAGCTCACCAGCCTACTCTTGCTCTCTCTTTATTGCTTTGCTTGAGATGTATACAATAGTGGGAATACTCCTGAGTTTAATCAATTTATAGTGAGGAAGGTTATTCTACTAGACAGATACTCTATGAGTTACTATGTATCTTACTACTACATTTAGGAAAGGGTCCACGTAGATGAGATTCCTTGGGAAGGAATTATTCCACAACACTCTTCCTTGTGCACTTTTCCAATGTCATGCTCATGACTTATTACAAACTCCTAGGAAAACCCAGTGGTTGAAAAATGTTCAGTGCAGTGCAGAGATCACATGTGTAGTTCCCATATATTGCCCCATCAAAACCTTACATTAAATCAAATGAAAGGACAACACGTTACGAATCTGAATTCTATTCATATAGGCCAACTGAAATTGATACTGATGATAACTATTGGACAAAATAGTTCAGTTTCAGAATTACTTTTGGAGATCTTATGAGATCAGGACTTTAATACACTTGAAAATTGATGAGTAGTTTCGTGGAGATCATCGTAAAAAGGGAGAGAACAAACCATAGTAACTGTATTCTCCATAAGCTGTGATGATAATGTTGGACAGTAATATCTCCTTTTCTGGACAAGTGGCTGTTACTGATTTTGTAGTACTAGAAGTTTTGCTTCCTTTTGTCAAATTAATAAGAGAGCAAGTGAATTTTATGTCCCTGTACACTCCTTCCATCTAATTGTTAGTATTCTTTTCTGAATTATAACAAAATAGTTGCCACTTGATTCATAGTTTCGAGGATGAACCATACAGTGGAGGGAATTGTGTTACAGTGAAGGGAAGTCTCCAGCAGAATGAAATTTTCTCAGAACAGCTTTTTAATGGGGGCCTTTCCATGGAGGGGGAATCTGTATATGTGTTTTATTCAGTAAGCAATCTGTCTTTCCGTTTATACCATGCTATTTTAACTTTAGCCAAAAGATTATCTACCTTAGCCACATGTCCGCGTCATATTTTGGAAAAACAGAAGAAGCAAGCGAAGGCATATTTCTATTTAGATATTGCATCTTCTCTGAAAGAACGATACATGTGCATCTGTACCTTGGCATGCTATTTGTTTTAAGTTAGGCCTTTTTTTTCTTCTATACACATCTGCACCTTTGCATGCGATTTGTTTTAAGTTAGGCCTTATTTTTCTTCTGTTAAATGACCATCCCTGTTAACTGTAGGTAAAAGCCGATGAACGCTCTGGTTTAGGGTTGTCACTGGATTTGTCATCCGGAAACAATGAGAGCAGTTCCATTCTTATTGCTGATGACACAGCAGCATTCACAAGAAAGAAACAACACCGAAAATATGGCTCATATGTTAAAGCTGATAAGGCAGAACCACACACTCCAGTTCACCAAAATTGGGTTGTCTACAAAGCAACTATCCTGCCCAGTGCTGGCTTTACATTAACTGGGATCAACATAGTCTGCACAATGAAAACCACTAGCGGAACTGATCCAGAAACAGATGGAGATGGAAGCTCAGAAGCAGGTGCAAACAGATCATTGCATTACCATGCATCGCTTGGCCATGTTAGCATTCGAAACACTGAAGAAACAGAGTTCCCTCCAGCAAGATCATGGGTGACGGAAGGCGATTACATCTCCTGGTCGAATGGTTCAGATGAATCTAAACTTGCAAGCCTGAAAATCAGTTGGGAACTTGAAAATAAACAGCAGGCACCATTCATGAAGTACAATGTCTATGTTGAGAAGTTAACTGCAGACTCAAATGCAAAGGCTCCCAGAATTTTCCTTGGAGTTGCCAGCGTACAAGTCTTCTATGTATCTGACCTAGAGGTCCCCAGCGAAGTCACTGCTCTGAAATTTTTCATTCAACCGTGTGGGCGTGATGGGAGTTGCCAAGGACTGCACGAATGCCCAAAGTTCCATTTGGTTCCTGTTGATTCTGCCATGTAACATTTATCTGCCTACCTTGCTGTTTTCAGTACTCTATGTTTTCACATCATTTATCACGTTATATGTTTATAAACAGAATCGTTCAATGTGATCTTTCAATAAAGAGTAAATCATGTTGTTACCTACTTTCAAATTCAATTGTGATTTTACCCCCTCCTTTTAGGGTTTATGATTTTACCCTCACTTTTTTCAAATGAAGCTACCGTTTGCTCTCACTTTAGATGACCATTTGATGGGCCTAGAATAAGAGAGCGAAAAAAATTGATAAAATTACAGAGTAAATAGAAATGGACCACTAGGAATGAACGTGTACAATGGATTTATAGTTTCGAGTCTTGCGTAATTTTCAAACAATGGATATAGTCTGTTTTAAATGAAATAACCAAAAGAGAGACATGTTAAAATTAGAGAAAAAAATGGTTGTAAAATCTAATTTTAGTGCATTGTAACGGAATGTAATTGTATTGTAACTGTGTTTAACCAAGTGTAACTACAAGCTGGATATACAAGAACACAAATCCTGATGCAACATCCTATGGACGAAAAAGTGAAAAATAGGAGTCCAAAAACCTGTCGCAAGTGGAATAGCAAATCCATATTCTAGTGCAGGTTATGCCATACAATGCAAAATCTCCAACCATTGCAACAAGGTTAGTAGATGAAGACAAGGGCCAAGCAGATGGTGGATCTACGATGGATGGATTGTTCTTAACAAACCTAGATGCAAATCACTATTCAAATAACAAATTACTCTTACAAATTGACAACTAAGCGTCATGCTTAGAGTAGTAGCTTTGTGTAACAGAAATCCTATCTATCAGCGTTTCTGCCCTGCTACCCCAGGTTACAATAAGTTGATACACAACTAATTCAAACAGCAAGAAAATAATCTCGTGAAAACCTGGAGGAGAATAACTTTGTAGCATACTGTATCATTTTTCTGTACTACGAGTGCTTCATTTTCCAGCCTCCGTGTAGGTACCGGACCACATGTCAGCCAGCCACTGAAGTTAACTTAACAAAAATTCTCTAATTATTTGCCCAAATGTATGCTGCCATCGACAAATGACCAGTTCTATAAAGTCATCGACAAACATGAATTCTACAAAATGGCAAATGTCATTGTATAAATGCTTTTATCCCATTTTGCCGCCACCTTCAGATTATTGCCCTTGAACCTCCATTCAGCCCCTCTAAAAAGACCATTTTTCCTCTAGAATTGATAAGCACGGTGTGAGCATTTCCATTCTTTTGTACTGGCAATAAATAACAATATATTTACACTCATTATCTGCCAAATTTGCAAATGCAAAATTATTTGTAGAATTTGCATGTAAAATCTGTAAACACTTTTGCTATTCAATTATTTGCAGAATTTGCATATGCAAAGAGAAGTACTACAATATTGAGAGATCGTCCAATGAATATATATCATAGGAAAATGGGCAGACTGTTTTCCATATAAGCACCAATTTTCGCATTTTCCCAAAATGAAGGGTTTAAGTTTCACACTATAAGCCCAAGCTGTAGTAAATAGTACTCCCTCCATTCCATAATATATGGCACAACTACTTTTTAAAGTTGTTTCATAATATAAGACACGCAGAGGCGGATCCAACGTGGGTGTAAGGGGGACTCAAGTTCCTCCTACACCCACAAAACCCATAGATACCCCCCTAAGCCTCCCCTTCAATTTTTTCATCATAGTTGATAAGATAGGAGGTGCTAAAGGTCTCATAATAGTATTTTAGTATAGTTTAATACTAAGATTATGTGTTTATATCGGTGTACTCAGTATGTTGAGTCCCCCCAACTTTTTGTTTCTGGATCCGCTCCTGAAGACACGCATACATGCATGTCATTAACTAGCACCTCTTTTTCACTAAAATATTAGTATAATATTTAAATCCCACACCATCGAGTTCTCTAATTTTATTGGGTGCATGCATTCTATTTATTAGGGTAACCCAAACTATGAGGTGATAATAATTATTCCTTGGTCTTTGGGTTAAGAGTGGTTATGCTGAAATGGAGGGAGTACTAGTCATTACCAATCTATAAACAGTACTTAGCAAGCACAATACATGTTTGAGGCAGTAGCTTCCATAAACCTTAGCAAGCAAAGTACATGTGAAAACATCATTAAAGAGTAAACCGCACAGTATTCATATTATTAAAGAGTAAATTGCATTGTCAATACACCGAGCTTGGTATATCAAATTTCCATTTCTTATAGTACATTTTTAATTCTCCATAGACGTATGGAACCCCAACTCAGCCACTCTCGTTAAACTTAGGTCACGTTTGACATAACTGTGGATCCAAGAATCTAGCTCCACAAATCAAAGGATATGGATTAGCAATTACATTAATAACATTTAGATGAATCATTTTGTTCCCATTTTAGATTAAAAAAAGCTTTAAACCACTATAATTTTACATATAAACTTCAAATCCAGCATGAATCTGAGACTTGAAGTGGTGCCAAACATGGCCTTAAACTAAGTAAACATAAAACCGTCTACAAGATTCACAATCACAACCAAATAAGCACCAAATTTTTAAGGTGCTGAGAAACACTCTTGGGCCGGACAATCAATATTATGGCAATACAGTTCAGTTAAATAGGTCATAACACGAGATATGACAATTGATATTTGTTGTAGAAGGCGTCAACTAATTAATTACATCACATTTTCATGGCAGGTACAAGCTCAGAACTTGTCTATGGGGATACCATCTCTGACTACCTCATATGCGTCACGGCTGCGGGTCTTCTTCACACCAGCAGTGAAATGAACCTTCGATCCCTCAGTCTTGATGGCAGTCACCTTGGTCCAAACAAGCACTTTCGTCTTCAAGCCTTCGATATCAGAGAGCTTTCCCTTCTCCAGGTAGCCAGTCACACAGGTAAAGAATCGCAGAACAGACGAATCCTTGTACCCGACATCACAAGCTGAAGGAATGTACACGGTTAGCTTCTTTGTCTCCTCATTGAACTCATAGTTAGTAGCATCCCTTGGGAAGAGGCCCGCCGGCATGTCATATTCCTTGAGAAGGTCTGGCAATGCTTTCTGCATCTTCCCTGAGACCAAAACATGTTTATTACTCACAATCAGATATAAGTCTACTTGGGAAAAATGTCATAAACATAAGAAAAAATGGCCTACATGCCTTCAACGTGGAATGTGTAGGTAATATGCATGGATGCCATCTTTAACTTTTGTATATATCGCTGCCCATAGCAATATTATTTGAGTTGCTTCATAAGTGATAAAATTTGTTAACTCTAGCTGAAGGGATGCAACGGCCATTTGAGTAGAGAAATAATGCAAAACTAAGTAAGAAGTGTAAGTTGTGTTTGTTTCCTTCTGTTTCTCTACAAACTAGATATCGGCGTATAATTCATCCTGTTCATATGTTATTTCTAAGGATACGCACATTGGGCGGTACAGCTAGTTGCTATATCTTATTTTTGTTGAGCTAGATAATGGATGGCATATATTGATTGATGTCCATCTGTTTATGTGTGCCATACAGCATATTGAATGGTGCAGCTATTTGCTACATCACATTTTTGTTAGAAATTCAATAATACAGAATACACATAGATACCTTTGATCTTGTTCACCATCCATTTAGCTCCTGTTCCAATGCTTGTAGAGATTGACTGTATTCAATATGTAAATAGTAATGTTAGAACTTACACTGCATAATTTGGCTTATCCTAGCAGAATCTGGAACTCAGATAGTGAAATGCCATACTTACCAAAAACGTCTTATACACTACATTTATAATCATGGTAACGAATATCAAAAGGAAGCTATTAAAATGTAGTATTCCAAAAATAGAATCCTGACATGCTTCATATAACTAATAAGTGCCATATAGAAATGACAGTGAGCACGATTACAATGCTTTAGCTTAGTTCACTTTGCATGCTCTGGTAAGATTCAAGAATCATGATGTGCTATAATAGAAGCGAAGAAACTTGGTACTCCAGTTACGCATCAACTCTCAAGTCAACTGTACAATTCATCCTATAACGAACAAGCAGAAATAGACTAGCAAAAGAATTTGCAGCTTAATTGACTAAGACCTACATATTATCCCCACCATCACTACCAGCTAATATGGAGCAATGACCCTTGTATTTTCACAAGTCAAGGACTCAGGAGTCAAACCAACTTCCTCCAGTCACTGACTTCCTCCCATGTAGATATAACTGCAATTATCTACTTCACAAACACCTACAGCGCAGTGCCAACCATAATCAGATCATCATATCCACTGCACACCTTCATTCAATACGGACTTAGGCATGATCCTTTCATTGCTGCATATTCAACCTTTTCATTTGATACCATGTAGTTATTTGATGGTCTAGCCCCTGACCGGTTGTCATAGTGTTAATCTATACTCAATATACCAGGAACTATGCAATTATAGCTTCTGGCTACCAAGCATTGGAAGGTCAGTTGGAGAAATGATTGATAACTTTTAAGTATAAACAATGTTTTATTTTTTAGAATGCCCATGCCCATGCTAATGGAATAAGTAGATTTCTAGTTAAGTATGCTTTCATGATGAGACCATGCAGAAGTGCAGCCCAAAGGGACAAAAGAATCTAAAATCAAAATAGAATCACTTAACATGTTCAAATGTGATGCCTTTACTGGATTAGTTCATTTATTTATTGATGATTCATGAGTAATTAGTTTATCTTCTGACATACAAAGTTTCAAGATGGTCCCTGTATTCTGAGTCAAAGTCAGTATTGTGTCAAAGTTCTAGACACGTGAAATACATTTTAATGTAAGAAAGTATTTAATGTGCCGACGAGGGCTAGGGAAGATTGTGGCATCGAGAGCTTGGAAACAAAGTAGCTAGGGGATTTGATGCAGGGATTTGCATTGTGATGGCCAGTAAAATAGAAGGGGATCTTTGCAAAACTGCCCTTGCAACGGTGTCAGCACCTCCGCGTCGGCATGCCACGTCATCAGTCAAAGCGTGTCGTGGCTGTTTCGGACTACTGATGGACGCTGAATCGAGTTTAGGGGGCTAATAATGCATTTTGAGAATTTGGGGACCTAGATGACACACCTGCACAAGTTTAGGGACCACCCATGCACTTCACTCTTTAATATTTTCTAGTTGTGATGTAAGAAAGTATTTAGTGCTTTTTGTTTGTTATGTTGATCATAGTCGTAGCAAGGTCAGTTCATATAGATCTATAAGAGGATATATTGGGAATCGTTTATACATTATTAGCCAGTTTAATAATAATGTCATGAAGAAGCATCAGGTAGTGAATCTCGTGTTTCTTGCTTGTTGCTTCTACCCTATTTCCCTTGATTCTGACAGGAAACGATGTTTAGATACTGTAGTCAACTATTGAAGCCAGTACTATACTTCATGATGCGGTACAGTTCACGCCAAAATTGGAAGTTTGGTTGAAATTGAAACGATGTGACGGAAAAGTTGGAAGTTTATGTGTGTAGAAAAGTTTTGACGTGATGGAAAAGTTGGAAGTTTGAAGAAAAATTTTGGAACTAAACTCGGCCCTTGTACAACTCTTGATTTCATGTAAAGTTGTCTGCAAATTTTTATGCACATATTACTGTTTTTATCGGAAAAAAACATAATACTGGACTTTGACTATGAACCTTTCAATTAACAACTATTCATTACTCCCCAAAAATGAATGAGGGACATTTTGTTAATGAAATGACTAACCAACTAAGACCTAATCCAACACAGCAAGATGCTGCTGATCAGGCCACAGGGCGGCGCACGGCATTCATTATCATCAGTCGTCCACATTAGTAGCAAGATGCTGCTACTAACAGCACAACCTGGACGGTGACAATTTCTACTAACCGCCGCCTTGAATTCCACTCGATGCCCTTCCCTGTATCAGCGGCATCCGCTTCAACTAAAAGCTCCAACACAATCAACGAAACACATTCGGCAATCTTTGCCACCGGATCGATCAATCTTCTCCACACATTGACATTGGAGACCAACCCCTTATACAGGTGACTCCATCCGAACCACTCCATACGCTAAATCCGCAGCAATCTAAACTCTTCCTGAAGAAACCATCTACCGCGCAAGATTAACCAACCACTCGACGACCAATGCAAGCCGACAATTTCAATTTAACAAGAAAACAAGAAAAGATTCTGGGTGGAAAAGGAGAAAAGATCTGAGTAGTAGGATGGGGAGTGGTTTACGCTGATGTCGTCGCCGATGGAGTCGATCTCCTTGCTCGCCCTCTTGCTGAACCAGTAGCTCCCCACCTTGTTCAGCACCTGGTCCATCTCCCCCCTCTCTCCAATCCAAATCCAAATCCCCAATCCGCCTCCACGAATCCAACCGAAATTGGGGGGAGATTGGAATGAGGAAGAAGAAGCAGCCGCTGCTACCCACCCGCCGGGTTCTCCTCTCTTCAAGTGAGCCGTGCGTGCGGCGGGGGGCGCGTGCACCCGGTGTATGGACCCGAGTGAATCTTCTCCGTTCGTCGGCGCCTCGAGATCCGTGACGCGGGCGGTGGTTCGTGGACCGGGCCTACCTGCCCACGAGTTCGAGGCCACAGCTGATGATTGCGGAGGAGGACGAGGGGGGAGACGAGAGTGACGTGGCATCTATTTTACCCCCGGATTTTTTTTCAAGAGGGAAAGTGACGTGGCATCTGCTCGGGGCGCTAGATGGGCTTGGGCTTTCGTTGTCGCGGCCCAGCAAGGCCCATCGGTGTCAGGACGGTATATAAGCAGCTCGGAACGCAAACCCTAGCCCTCGAGGTGAAGGAGCGCACTGCGAAGCGAACCCTTCTCCGCCGCCTCCGCTCTTCGCTGCACGGTGCTAGCTCGCCGCCGTCCGTCTCGCGCGCCTCAAGGTAAAACCAACTCTCCTTGTTCGTTAGTCTAGCGAGTGAGTATGTATCAGTATTGCCATCTCGACTTGTTCGCACGGAAATGAAATTTGCATCCGCGTCTTTGGTGTGCTGTGTGGGGGGGGATAGATCATGGGTGTATCTGTGTTGAGATGGTGTAGTTTGTTTATTTATTTTTCCTCAGGGAGCACTAGCGTGGGTAGATTGTATCCTGCACTCATCTCTATGGATTGCCTAGGCTATGCGAGATTTGTTTGTTTGGCTTTGGAATGTTGTTTCCTTTCAAGAGCTTGCCAAAGTATGAGTTGAGATTGTGGTGCGTTTTGTGAAGTGCGTGTTCTAGAGTTGGTCAATTGGGACCTCCTCCTAAGGCTGGCACAATCTGCCTGCTTCTGTGGAGAAACGTCGTGAACATGTACGATTTTGTTGCTGGTGTTAAATTAGTAGTTTTAGATGGGACGAATTATCTCTTTGTTGCTGCATGATGGCATGCTTCAAAACCACCAACCACTTGTGCTAGGTGAAAACAAAAGATGCGCCTTATTTTCACCTGACATTCCGGGAAGCTTGTCAAATTGGCCTTCTCTTTAAATTTTCATGGTGCTATCACGCGGCTTTCACTTGTCTTTTTTATGGTTTTCTTCGTCCAATCGGTTAAAGTCACAATTTAGTACCATTTGCAGTCAGGGATTGATTTTGCGTTCACTACAGGGTTATCACAAGATGTATACAGCAAGGAGGAAGATCCAGAAGGACAAGGGTCTGGAGCCAACTGAGTTTGAGGACACTGTTGCTCAGGTTATTTTATTTCCTCTGAATTCATTGATTGGCTTATTTAGCATTTGAAACTCTGGATCTTAACTATCTGTGGGGGACAGGCATTTTTTGACCTTGAGAATGGGAATCAGGAGCTGAAGAGTGACTTGAAGGACCTTTACATCAATGGAGCAGTGTATGTGCTTTGCCACAAATTTATTTGAAAAACTGTGACTTGTTTGTTCTGGTTGCCGTCAATGGACCTTTTCTCTGAACTTTTTTGTTCTGGTTGCAGTCAGATGGATTTACCTGGCAACAGGAAGGCTGTTATTATTTATGTTCCATACAGGCTGCGGAAGGCATATAAGAAGATCCATGTGAGGCTTGTTAGGGAACTTGAGAAGAAATTCAGTGGGAAGGTAAATTTCTAAATGCATAATCCATGATTTGCAGCACTTATTTTGTAGAATTATTTTCACTTCTGACAAATTATGCACTGACCGTTTCTCTTGGATATGTAAAGTCTGAAGTCTGAACATTTGCCATAACTTATTGATGCAGTTTCCTGGACAAATTTCACTAAAAGTCAACAATAGACACCTTGCTTTAACCTGGTAAAAAGAGCATAGTAAATACAAAAGGAAAAAGTCTATACCATTCTCGTGGTTGTCTATACATAGGCCCTCTTTGTTTAGGCTTAGGCTTATTGGCCTAGACTTTTAAGTCAGCTTATTGGCTTATATGATTTATAAGCCAGTGGATTTAATGTCCTACGTTTAGTGGTGGAGTCATACATCTATCTCATATAAGCCAAAAAAGCTTCTCCAACCTAGCTTTTGGCTTAATAGTGTTAGAGTGGCTTATGGCTTCAAAAAAGCCAAATGAAAAAGCTGCTTGTTTGTTTTGGCTTAGACTTTTTGACTTATAAGTTGGCTTATAAGCCTAAACAAAGAGGGCCTAAGTAGTTTGAGAACTTATTCTATCCAGTGTCGGAATTGAGGGATGATAACCTGAATTCCAACTTTTGTTTGTTATAGGGAAACCAGCTTAACTGCTCAGTACAACTTTTTATTCCAGATGCTAACTGCAATTTTTTTGTGCTAATAAAGATGTCCATCAAGAATACCCAGCTGTAATTCTGAGTTTCTGCCAATTATATTCTGAGCTTTAGACTTGTTACTATCTTCCTTGAAGTTAATCATTGTGCAATTTACTCTAGCTTTCTTATTATTTCTGCTAACACTCTTGCTGGATGTCATGACAATATTTTTTGATTGCTAATTTGATATAGGATGTGGTTCTGGTTGCAACTAGAAGAATAGTGAGGCCCCCAAAGAAAGGCTCAGCTGTTGTTCGCCCTCGTACCCGCACACTTACTGCTGTTCATGATGGCATCTTGGAGGATGTTGTGTATCCAGCAGAGATTGTTGGGAAGCGTGTCAGATACCACTTGGATGGTAGAAAAATCATGAAGGTTTGTGTTTATATCATGAACATATAGCTATGAGCTGTTGGACTCTAGTTTTTCTTGAGTTGGAATTTGTGACAGTTTATTGTTTGCCCCTTTTTGTATGACTGCATGTTTTCTCTTGAACATTTCTAGTACCTACGATTTTACTGACTCTGTAGAAGAGATTCATCTTCCTTTCAAGTAGTAGGTATAAGAAACTTCTTTTCCTCAAGAAATGCAGAGATGTGTTTCTCAAAGCATGTTCCCTTTGCACCTCAAATTTTAGATGGGAGTGTTTTCTATCTATTACGGTTAACTGATTTGCGCTTTTTATGTTTGAAATCGAGATGTTATTATTACAAATGCCTTACTGATCCAATTGTTCCTATATTGATGTGGTCATTTTAGTGTTTGTTTTTGTGATTTTTAACACTAGCCCTCATGAAATTCTCAATATCTGCACGGTTTATTCATTTATTTTACCTTAGCTGTATTTCAAACATAATCACGGGCGCTAATGATTTTTATGCTGTCTCGCTGAATTCAAACAACGCTGACCTTGTATGAACTTGTGCTGCAGATCTTCCTGGACCCAAAGGAGCGCAACAACACCGAGTACAAGCTCGACACTTTCAGCTCTGTCTACAGGAGGCTCTGTGGGAAGGACGTCGTGTTCGACTACCCCATGACCGAGACTGCGTAAACCATGTCATAGTTAGTCGACGGCTATCTTTGGCCGCAAATGCTGCTACTCTTCCTAAAATAGACTATAACTGTGGTTTCCTATATGCGAAAAGTTTTGACAGTCCTGTGATCTGCATATCTGATTGCTAGAACTGGTTTAAATTGTTCAGGTGTTTTCCAACTGCAGTTGTAGAACTTGTTGCTTTGTTCAATGGTAGTATTTTCAACGTGCAAAATAATCTCCCAAATGTTTCAGATTTGTTATTGTTGATGGGTAGGGTAACATGCAGCTGAGCTTTGAAAAGAGAAGATGGTACTTCCTTCACATCTCTTGATGAGGAGATTTGCTGGTCAGCAGACCGTCGAAGGTTTTGGTGTGATTTTAAGTACAGGGTCAATAGATCGATTGGTAAACGCTGCTCTAGTAAAACATAAACACAACAAAGTTTGATTCGCTATTTTTTGCAGCCTGCTGTGGATTTTTTTTTTTTTGCTTTTGTAGAATTTCATTTAACATTTACAATAATAATGTCTTTCTGGATGAGTACTGCTAGACATCCGACCCCGTCTCCTATGCCAATCAATTCACTCCGTCTCCATACGAGTCAACTGCTCTTCGTCGTGAGCCTTGACCATACGTTATAGCTGAGACTTGAGGGCATGTTTGGATAGAGGTATTCTAGTCTCCCTCACATCGGAGGATGTTGGGACACTAATTATTAAACGTAGATTATTGATAAAAATCTATTTCATAACCTTGGATTATTTGCGAGACGAATCTACTTAGTCTAATTAATCGATGAGTACCCTATGTGATGCTAAATATGTGTTAATTATGGATTAATTAGGCTTAAAAAATTTGTCTTGCGAATTAGCTCTTATTTATGCAATTAGTTTTATAAGTAGTTTATGTTTAATACTCTAAATTAGTGTCCAAACATCACCACCTGAATCAAGATGGCTAGTTTAGAGGCCTATTCACTTTGATGCTATTTTCAACCATACATTTTTTTTTAGCAAAGTTGTCAAAAAAATGTTTACGTTTAGTTTGTTGCCAAATTTGATAAATATATAAAAAATCTTGCCAAAATTTAAATTTGGTAAACGTAATTGGATTCCTTCAATGAAATTGACGGACAGCTGCTTCTTTCTTCTTCTTCTTCTTTTCGTTGCATCTACTGAGGGTGAAGGCAAACATAGTTGGATTCCTTGAAATTGACAGACAGCTACTTTTCTTTTTTTTTTAAGTAAAGAGAGAACTATATTAATGCTTAAATAAAGGGTTACACTCCTGATTTAATAAATCTAGAATTCTTGCGGGAGCACAACCTCCACTCCGCGCAGGACCTAGAACACATTGCCATTTGTGCTAAAACATGTGCTACCCTATTTGCTTCTCTTCTTTCTGTGTGACAAATTCCATTTGTTGAGTCATCGTCAGCAGTGAAAATGAAATGTCAGGGGCCAATCTAACCCATAAACTAACTATGGAACACGCAAAAAAAAACACAAAACAGTTTTTTTTTAAAAAAAAAAAGCTTGTGCTTACATCAGTCTAACAAGTAAAAGCCGTCGATTAAAATTTCCGAAGAATAACGGGTGGCCGAAATTTACGAAGAATTTTTTTTTTGGGGGTGCCATGGCCAGGTCTGGCTGTAAAGAACAAGGCTAGTTTGATTTGAAGTAATTTTTCTTTACCATGGTGCAAGTTTTGCACTAAATTTTTTAGAGTAAAATTTCTATAATGGTAGGCAAAAATTAGCATCGAAACAATTGCCGTATTGAAATTGTAAAAGATAGAAGTAGAATAAAAATTAACTTCAATCCAAACAAGCTTTACTACTCTCCACATTAGGTACCCAAAGTCGCACCATGAGGACTAACGTGGAAAGGCAGCTTTGAAAAATATTGCCAATTTGTAACTTTTTTTAGTCCAAAAATGTTGACTTTCTTAGAAACTTATGTGGCAAGTTTATTCCGGTTTGTATTCCCTCGAAAGGAAATTTCCATAAGAAAAAACGAAACTACTTCCTCCATTTCAGGTTATAAGATATTTTAACTTTGGTCAAAGTCAAACTGCTTTAAGTTTGACCAAGTTTGTAAAAAAAAGTAGTAATATTTTTAACCCAAGACAAATTTATTATGAAAATATATTCAATTATTAATTTGATGAAACTAATTTAGTATTATAAATATTACTATACGAGAAAAATGTCAGTGCGTTGCAACGGGTGAAAGATATTTTAATCTTATTATTGTTGTACGGTTTAGATAAGGTGAAATTCACTATGGGAATTCGCTTGGATATTCTTTTTATAAAATCATGAGCCGCAATTAAGGGTCTAATAATCTCAAGTTAGCATGCAAGTTTTGTAAAGAGATTTCTTATACGACTCCTTCTGTATTTCTAAAAAGAAGAAAATTAAAAACTGACTCAAACACGGATCTATATTTCCAAAAGTGATTGAACTTAAAAATCGATTCAAACACGGATGACGTACCAAAAGTACCGACAAAAGCATCTCCAATTTTTATAATAGTAGAGATTTAATAATAAACTTAGTTAAACTTAAAACAGTTTAAAAACATTAATTAAACGAGTCCACCAAAAAAGCGAAGCTTCTCCCCCACCGCACGGCTTACGTCACGGTGAGGCGTGCCACTGACATCTAGGCCCCACGCGGAGATATTTTCCCGACCCGGCCGGATCACGAAGGGTCCGGAACTCGCCTATAAATACCCACCCCCACCACTAGATCTCGCCTTTCCTTCCGATCTCTCTCCCTCTCTCTCTTCTTCTTCTTCTTCCTTCCCTCTCAACCCGACGACCCACGCGAAGCGAACTCTCGCGCGAGACGAGAGTAGTAAACCCTAGAAACCTAGAGGAGATCCCCACCACCACCATGACGGTGGATCAGAGGACGACGGCGAAGGCGATCATGCCGCCGGTGGAGATGCCGCCCGTCCAGCCCGGAAGGTGAGATCTTGCTCTCCAACATCCCTTCACTTTCCCCTCTCTCTTGTGGTTACTTTTAGGGGGTGGGGTGGTTCGAGTTTGGGCGGGAGTTAGGGGTTGGGGGTTCGCTCGATTCGTTGGTGGATCGAGCGATTTTGGGTGTATGGGTTGTGGATTTTAGGTTGGATTGGTTGTATTTGGGCGGGGTTGGGTGCTAGGGTTGGTGGAATTTGGGGGGCTAGGGTTTCAGGATCTGGTTATTTTGCCTGAATATGAATTGGGGGTGAAGGGTGCAGGGTTGGATTGTGGGGGGTGACCGTGCGGTGTAGGGATCATGGAAGATGTTGGGGATTTTGTTGGGTTGAAAGCTGGGACAGGGTGGGCGATTGGGGGAGGTGGGATCTCTGGATCCCCTTTTAATTGGGCGGCAGTGCTTTGCTGGAGTCCAAATCAATCGTTGTGAATTCCATAGCTAATGTTTGTAGTTGTATATATTATAGGTAAATTGAGTGTTTTGGGTTCGAACCCCTTTGCAAGTTTCGGTTTTTTCCCCTACTGTGGGTGACTTTGGTAGTAGTATTGTTTCAATGGTGTGATTACCTGTTGATTTTGTGTGAGACTGTTCGAATTACTTGTTGTTTAGAGTCTTGAGTAGCAAAGTTATACTACTATGGTTCTAGTCAGCACCATCTCCACAGAAACGTGTCGTATGCCCCGAGTCATCTAACTTAATGTCATTCTTTGTTGCTGTACACTGCTGTTATATTTTTGTAATTTTTGTCAGTTTAACTTCGTAATACAGTCTCTGATACATGTATGTCTATTTGTCTTGTCTTTTGGTAATTAGAAAATGTGGAGGCGAGGAAAGTACTGGAAACCTTGATTCCGTCCAACCGATAGGTATGACTGCTTTGATTTGAACACCTTTCGTAAACAGGAAGTACTGATTGAGATGGGTCCCTTGTGTCCAGCAGTGAAGTGTGAGCACAAAATAACTGCTTGTGTTTCAGCAGGAGCTCTTCCCTGTAATGAGCATGCACTCTTGGCCCAGCAGACCCCCAAGGGAGATGCGCCATCAGTGGGCTCTAAGATTTGGTGTGTTTAACCGTTCTGATATGTCTGGCTTGCTCAATTTGTTGGAGCATGCGGGCTATGACTACCAGGCTTAACTGGTTTTTTAGTATAGAGCTGCACGAAAGTATTTTTTTTCCTTGTCTTTTCACCAGCTGGTTTCTGATCAGCTGGTTTAAGCATATTCGGTTTCTCTCTTGATTTGATCCTGTTCAGCTGTTACATTGTGTGAAATGGAAGAAACAATAACTGAGTAGGTCCAGTGAATAAAATAAGCATCAGTGCTTTTGAGATGTTACGAGTATTTTTCTAAACAATTAGCTCGAGCTTGATTGATTGAGTGAAATAGTACATCTATGTGCGTGTTGCTTGTATGAACTTAAGGAATTGTTCGCAGAATTCATTGAAATGAATAACTGGCAAATTAGAGTTTAGTTATCAAGCGTGATTATCATCATAATAGTACCTGTTTCTGTGGATATGGTCTGTTTGTAGGAACATATGAAAGCATATGTGTTTGTGGAGAACAGTTGATGGCACTGGGGTTATTGAACGCGTTTAGTTCATGTTTCTGTGGAGATGGTCTACCTTGTGGGAAACATTCATTGTTCTGTTCTGCTATGTCCTTTTCCCTTGGTTATGTGGATATTTTCCCTGAATCTGTAGAACAATTACTAAAGTTAAGCTCCTTGTTTAGCAGGAAAAAGCGACCACGGAGATCACGCGATGGACCTACTTCAGTTGCAGAGACCATCAAGCGGTGGGCCGAGCTCAACAATCAGCAGGAGCTTGATCCACAGGGTCCAAAGAAGGCAAGGAAGGCACCTGCAAAGGGTTCAAAGAAGGGCTGCATGAAGGGGAAAGGAGGACCGGAGAATACACGTTGTGACTTCCGTGGTGTGAGGCAACGTACCTGGGGCAAGTGGGTTGCTGAAATTCGGGAGCCGAATCAGCAAAGTAGACTCTGGTTGGGGACCTTCCCAACTGCCGAAGCTGCAGCTTGTGCTTATGACGAGGCAGCCAGAGCAATGTATGGTCCAATGGCTCGCACTAATTTTGGCCAGCATCATGCCCCTGCTGCTTCCGTTCAGGTTGCACTAGCAGCTGTCAAATGTGCTTTACCTGGTGGTGGCTTAACAGCAAGCAAGTCTAGAACATCCACTCAGGGTGCATCAGCAGATGTTCAAGATGTTTTAACTGGTGGCTTATCAGCATGCGAGTCCACTACAACAACAATTAATAATCAATCTGATGTCGTCTCTACCTTACATAAGCCAGAAGAGGTTTCTGAGATCTCTAGTCCACTGAGAGCTCCACCAGCTGTCCTGGAAGATGGTTCTAATGAAGACAAGGCTGAATCGGTTACCTATGATGAGAACATTGTCAGCCAGCAGCGTGCCCCTCCTGAAGCCGAGGCTAGTAATGGAAGAGGCGAGGAGGTCTTTGAGCCTCTGGAACCTATTGCCAGCCTACCAGAGGACCAAGGAGATTATTGTTTTGATATTGATGAGATGCTGAGAATGATGGAAGCTGACCCTACGAACGAGGGTTTGTGGAAAGGCGACAAAGATGGATCAGACGCCATCCTGGAGCTTGGCCAGGATGAACCTTTCTACTACGAAGGGGTTGATCCAGGCATGCTGGACAACTTGCTCAGGTCTGATGAGCCAGCATGGTTATTGGCAGATCCTGCGATGTTCATCTCCGGTGGCTTCGAAGATGACTCTCAGTTCTTTGAGGGCTTGTGATTTCCCCTTGGCGGCAGCCGGCCATACTAAAATTTTCTGGTGCTTTGGTCGGCTAGCTCCTGCACATCGCCCTCAGGATCAGCAAGAGAAACACTGGACCGGATTGGGTTCGTTGGTGGAACTGGATGAGCATCTAGTAGCTAAGGAAAAAAGATCCTTTTATTTAGTTCTGTAGGCAATGGAACTCCTTGAGAACTCCGTTTCAGTGTTTGTTAATTTGATAACGCTTGCTTGTTTGTGTGTGTATATCGATCTCTTTTGAAGCAATGAGAAAAAAAAAAGGACTGAAGAAAATGTGTATATATTCCAAGCGTTCTTCAGCCTTTCTTAGCCTTCATATTTTACCTATGCACGTGGGATGTTGCAGTTTTAGAGCTTGTGAGCCTTCTCTAAAACCGGGGATTAAAATGCGACTAGGCACGATATGTTCAATCTAAACCGAACTCCCTAGGGTGTATTTATTTGGTGTTGTCTTTTTTTCATTATCCTAAGATTGCAAGTTACAAAGACGAATACCCGTCCTAGTACCACCGATATTTGCGATACCAGTTGCGACATTTTGAGATGAAGAGATCAAGAGAGTATTTTCGTTGCTGTTAGTATGTACTATGTTTTATAATTGTACCCCTCGTTATGCTAATTACTGAAGCCTCCGTAGAGAGTACCGAACATTCCCCATATTTAGCAAGCGACCTTTTAAGATGCTTCATAATTTAGCAAGCGACCTTAAGGTACTTGCAAACCGATCCTAATAGGGAAACAAAACCATGCTGACTAAGCTGAACAAACGTTGCAGAAGTTAACCAAGCAGGCAGGCAGCTCCAATCGTATGCGCAGTACGGCAGTAGTGTGACGATGTGCGTCTGTACTCCCGATAGTTGAACTACGCCAATATTCTTTAAATAAATGAAAAACAAATTGAATTAGGTCTTTCTTCTACTTTTGGCCTTCACCATCCTAGGTTACACATTGTACATACACACTCACATGTGCCAACCAAGAGAAGACGGGCAAAAGTTGTGAATGCTACCACGCTATGTTGTTATCAGATCTTCGGGCGTATCCACTCGTCTCCTCTGCAACTGTCTCCCAACCCTCCACGATCTTCTCAGCGTATGCAGCCTGTCAGACACAGGCAACAGATTATTTCAGTTCTCAGCTACTCACAGAAAACCAAGGTTTTCAACATCTGTGTCATGTGCACCAACATCATAATGTGCAATCTATTCGGAGCAGCACAGATACTGGAGTACCAAATAACCTATATTTTAGTTACTTTAAGTGATGACCCAATATTGTAGTCACCAAGAAAATTATGGATCAAGGTGCTTTTTTGGGCAAAGAAAAAAAATAAAGAAATAAAAAAAAGGCAGAGGCTTGAGAATAATACTTGGCTTGTAACATATCCTTTTATCATCTCAAGCATATCCTCCTTCTTCTCTCGGTCTAGTCTGTTGAGTTCACTTCTATTATTTTCCTGCATATTGTATAACCACATTGTAAGGCACTCGCTAAGATAACTAGATAATAGACTGCAGTTAGATGACAGTAGTAAGTTTTTGGTTGAAGGCTGTAAAAACATAAAGAACAGCACACCGCTTACAACAAGCGATCTAAACAATTTAGTGAAGCAATACTGCTGCCAAACCTAAAATCAATGCAGTTGTTCTGAACTTATAAAGTTCTGATCCATGCAAGCAAGTCAGTGGAGACTTCTTCATAATTTGCTCATGGGTGATAAGAAAGTATGCTCCAGAGTGTGAATAAAGCCTCACATGAGCGTCATCGGTATTTCCTATGCAGATTATATTTTAATGTATTTGTGATTAGTCTAGTTGATTAATAAATTTGGCACACAGCTCGGAGCTACATGTGTTAAACAATTTGGAGATAAAGGAACAGAAAACAACATTAAGGAATAATGGTTTCATGGTACAGATGACAGAAAAGTAGTTCTGAATCAGTATGAAAATTTGCACAACATTGGATTCTTGAAGCAATTTAACAAGCGACTTAGAGAGAAAGTGGTAAAATACACAAAGGTAGTTAATCTAATTTTGCATAAAAGCATAAATTATAGATCGTCACAGACTCTCACAGTTATATGGGCCTAAAAGATAACTAGCACTAAAAACATAATAGTATATATGCTTTGTCTGCTATTGGTCTTATCATTGGCACTGAATTATACTGTTCAGTTCGTAGGACAAGATTAGATGGGGCGTGTCAGTTCTACGAAGGGTTGCCCATGTATTTGGACAATTAAACACATGAAACATAGCGATTACCTTGATTCTCTCATATTCCCTTAGTGCACAGCATTTAGCATCTTCAGTAGCCCTTATTGTTTCCCTTAACTCTTCAACTTTGCGAAGCCTAGATTTATCACCACCAAATATTTTTGATGCAGCTGCTTCGAGTTTTTCAATCCTCAATTGCAATGATGCCAGGTCTGACATGAGCGTTTGTACAGTCAATAATGCACTTGACCGATCAGAAAATGCAGTATGGACAGACAGCATTATCCCTAGATGTTCATGGAGAGTGTCCTGCATAAGGAAAACATTTTGGAATAAGACTACTTCAGAACCAGGAGAACTAACAACAACAATCAAACGATTTCAGGTGTTACCAGATATTTGACAGTTTGCGTATTCAAATCTCGACATGCTCGGCTAGCTTTGACAGCTGCAGTGGCTATACGTTTGCTGTCAGCAGCTCTTATCCTCTGAGAGTCATACATTGCTTCCTCCGTCTCAAATTTTGTAAGTTTGATGAATGCCAATCCAAGTGCCCCCATTGTTTCACCCATATCTTGCTGAGCCTTCACAAGTGCTTCAGCCTATGAAAAAAAACAGAAAGAAGGCAATTAACTACCCTCTAAACAAAAACAGAAGGCCAAATAACGTAGAGAGCTACAGTTGCAATACTACTAGCTTCATCAAAACGATTTTTTGCACTTTACAGCAACACTCAAATTTTGGTATATGATAGATGCTTCATTCTCATATCAACTATTTGATTCATGATATCAGGATAACTAGAATTTTGTAACTTCTCTTGGTATGGTTAATGGTTATGAACCCAACTAACAATATCGTTCACCTTGAGGACTCTAATAATGTTGAGCAATAGCAAGTATAGAAAAATTCCTCAAATGCAGTTAGGCCATAATAAGCTAGCTCGTCAGGCAATAATACGTGCATTTCATGGTTAGAAATAAAATTGGCAACCAAATAGAATAGCCATGGTCAAGCTAGTTAATGATTAAACGAAGTTCTGGTCTTGTGAGTTGTGAGAAACAAAAAAAGAGCCCCTAAAAGAACACATCTAAACTACACCATTCAAATGGCAACAGACTAAACACTTCTCATAGCATGGTTAACAACAAAAGGAACAATGAGAGACAGAGAATGACACCACAACTGGACTTAATAGACAAAAGAGGAACAATTCTATAAGGTCTGATAAAAGCATCTCTTGGTCAAAAATGAGTGCAGTGAACTTGAGCCTAAAACCAGGAGTCCAGGACTTCACTGCTATAGTACCCATTTTTTCCGGTGTGTCTACTAAAACTATCATCAAACAAATAGTAGCAGCCTTCAAAATCCTTGTATGTTGTCCTATTAGTCCACAATACCAATACCATGATAACCTGGGTTCCACGTGTGTGATGGTGCAATTAGAATATGTAGAGCCTAGTCTTAAATTTAATGTTTCAAAGACACATGAGGGATGCATTTTATGTTAAAGGGCAAAGTAAGGACGCAAAGGAAGCACAAAAAACATGGGTACCAACTATAAGGACTTGGTACACTAGACCAGCTTTGTGATATGAAAATTATTAGCCCATAGCATTCTTAAAAGCATTATGCTTTTGGTTTAGTACTCATTTTCACTCCATCCTTGTTCACAACAAAAGCAGATGTATTCATTTGAACAACAACGATCGCATGCCCACTATTAATGAGAACTACTTTCAGCTTCTTGGAATAAAATACTCATTAAAGGATTAATGGAGCAAGTATTGCATAGTTTCATTAATAGTTTCATTAGATTTACTAACTTTTAATTACAAAAGGACATAATTCCAATGAAGAGGAGTTAATAGGGGGCAGCCTAGTCAGTAGGGGTACCTCTAATACGCGAGTGATCGCGTGCGCAGGGAACACACGATCGGGAAAAAAAAACCCATGTGTACAATTGCATTGATGCATTTTCAGGTATAAACATCCACACGCTTGTTTTTCTTCAGTTCTAGATATAATTGATTTTCAGGTATAAACATCCACGCGCTTGTTTTTCTTCAGTTTTAGATATAGTTGGTTTGCATTAGTTGATGCCTATTGCCCAACATAAACATATCCCTAATAAAAGGTACTAGTTGGTTGTCACATATTATTTGTAGTGGTTTGGGGTGACCTAACATCCTAGTGTAATTAGGTTGTTGTTTTGGGTCACAACGTACTATTTTTCTATGTAGGATCTTCATGCAAACAAACATCCCGTGTATAAACTTTACAGAGAGAATCTTTCTGTGTATAAACTTTATACACAGAAACTTCCGATCTAGAAACTTTATTCATATAAACTTTTTATATAAAAAGTTTCTATAGATGAATTTCAAACGAATTTAAAAAATCAAAAAAGAAAAAAATGGTATGCACTTTTTATTGGACCAAAAGCAGGCCCACGGAGGTAACCACATACAAATTTTGATCTGCAAGTATGCACATCTTGTTGGCATCAAGAAAAAGAGAGAAAAGCTAACTTGCATCCATCAAAACCAGTAACAGAAAAAAAAAAGAAACAGCCGCAAGAAGCGGTTAAAAAAACAAGAAAAGAAAAGAAAGAGGAGTTGATCTCGGGAGCACGAGCCTGGCAAAAAGGGAAAGGAAACCAATCGTGGCACTGAGATTCCAGCAACCAATCGTGCATTATCGATTTCGAGTCATCAGTACTAATTGATCTCAGATTTGTGGCTTGTCCAAGACAATGATTCGTTAAGATTGGAGGGATTACTATCAGCGGAATTATGTACACAACAATTAGCCAGGCTAGTGAACAGTGTCTAACCCATCACATAATGAATAATGTTTTATCTCTGTTGACTAACAAGACAGAGCTGACTACTTAAATATCACTTTAAAACAAGTATTTCTGGCGTATAATCACCAATTTATTATATATGCTAGCATTTTCATTTCGAAACCTCTCCTTGTTTATATATACAATCATCAAAACTGGCATTTAGACAGCATTGAATAAAACAATGTTTGACCAATCAAATGGGTTCGTAATTACTACCCCTACTAAATCCTCTTATTGTTTTTTATGGTTGCAAATAAATGCAAAGATTCCTCTGATTCTCTCAATGTCACCTTCCTACATGCTGCAAATGTAGGGGGTGTTTAGATCCACTGGCAAATTTTTTTGCCCCGTCACATCGAACGTTTGAACACATGTACGGAGTATTAAATATTGACAAAAAAAATAATTACACAGTTTGCGTGTAAATTGCGAGACAAATCTTTTAAGCCTAATTGCGCCATGATCTGACAATGTGGTGCTACAGTAAACATTTGCTAATGACAGATTAATTAGGCTTAATAAATTCATCTCGCAGTTTACATGCGCATTATGTAATTTGTTTTGTTATTAGTTAACGTTTGATACTTCAAATGTGTGTCCGTGTATCTGATGTGACCCAGCAAAATTTTTTGCCGGTTGAAGTAAACATAGCCGTAAGCAGCAAATAATTCGTCATACTACATAATGATGACCTTTGACATTCACTTATGCGATATTATGCTGGTCTAGCTCATGTGTTTCGCAGGTAGGCCTATGAAATACTCCCTCCGTCCTATAAAAAAACCAACCTAGTACCGGATGTGACACATCCTAGTACTACGAATCTGGACATACATATGTCCAGATTCATCGTACTAGAATATGTCACATCCGGTACTAGATTCGTTTTTTATGGGACGGAGGGAGTACGCTATTTTATAAAGTATATTGGGGCATGGGAAAATGTGACCGAAACTTGCAGGATATTGCTTTCGTGTACTGTAACACGCAGGCCAAAGCAATGCCTTTTCATGACTGGAGTAAGACATAGATTCAGTCTTCATTTTCCAAAACAAATGTATCGAACCATTCATTCGATTTCAACCCCTAGCAGCTTTCAATGTGTGCCAACAGTACTCATGTTGTATTTAGACCAATTTCGATTTGAGATGTGACTTTCTTTCCTTTCTATATACTTTCCATATCCCCAAAGTCCATACTTAGTGTTAATTTGCACAGAACCTTACCATCACATAATAGACGCTACATCCTATGTTTCATATTTTGTACTAGCCATTCAGGTTCAGAAAACAAGATTAAAAATGGATGGTAATATGACTTGGGTTATTGTTACAAGCGAAACGTTAATTGCAGGCCCAATGTTTGCAGTTAATTTAACGCTGGGTTGTAACACCGCAAAGTTTTGCCTTAAAAAGATAAGAGTGGACAAGAATGTGTTAGCATACATCAATAGTCTATCCTAAATTGCACATTTATTTGATTATTAATAGTTCTCGGGGGGAAAAGGTAATTATATACCAATTAAAAGTTTTCAGGTAGAAAAGGTTTATAATTTATCATCTAGTACTGAATAACTTGGCTTAGACTAGCTTTTAGTGGGATACAGTAACTACTAAGATTTTGATTTAGATTGTATCCGTATTTGGCAAACCTACTAAGAATTTACATTGCATTACATCAGTGATCACTCCATCAGATAAATCAGATCCAACTAACCCATATCTCCAGTAACATTTGATGAGAGATTACCTGTTGTGATGCGCTAGTCAACTGCTGCTCCCAATCCTGCAGCTTCTGCTTTTTGTCTAGGAACTCCTTATCCTCCTCTACCAAAGGCGGCCTGACGCCGCCCCAGTCAGACACGACTGATTGCTTCAGCTCCTTAAATATCCGCAGAAGGTCCCTACCGCCCTTGGCTGGCTGCACCACCTCCTGCGGCGCAGCCACGGCCTCCTCGCCGGCGAGCAGCTGCCGTGGCAGCCGCGCTGCGCCGTCGAGCATCCGCGAAGCGACATCGGTGGTGCTCGGCAGCGGCATCTTGCCCTCGGCCTGCAGGAAGACGCGCAGCTCGTCGCTGGGGCCGATCGCGGGGTGCTCGGCGAGGCGCCACAGGTACCTCTCGAGGGCGGCGCGGCGCTGGGCGACGAACTCGTCGCGCTGCATGACCTGGCTCTCGACGGTGTTCTTGTCCGGGCGCGGGGGCACGAAGTGGCCCCGGAAGGCCTCGGCGAGGCGGTCGGCGAGGGTGACGAAGTCGCGGAAGCGGCGGCGGACGGCGTGGCGGCGGTGGTCCCCGCGGCGGGCGCTGGTGACGAGGTAGGAGATGTAGGTCGGGGCGGATCCGGGGACGAGGGAGGTGGCGGCGGGCTCGGCCTCGGGCGTGGGGTCGGAGACGGCGATGAGGGCGTAGTCGGACGCGGCGGATCTCGGGGAGGCGGAGGCGGAGGCGGATGCGGAGCGCGGGGAGGAGGAGGAGGAGGCGGCGACGTCGGCGTAGGAGGGCGGGTCCACGAAGGAGGAGGAGGAGGACGGGGAGAGCGGGAAGGCGGCGGCGGCGGCGATGGTTGGGGAGGGCGGCGAGGCGGCGGCGGCGGCGGAGGAGAGGAGGGGATCGAAGGTGGAGGCGACGGAGGCGTAGTCGGAGGCGAGGGGGAGCGTCTCCATGTCGCCGTCCCCGTCGCCGGCGGGCATGTCCGGCGGCGCCGTGGAGGACATCATGGCGGCGCGGCGAGGGTTGCGGCGCGGCGAGGGGTGGGTGAGACGGCGTGCGTGCGCGTGTCTGTGCTGCGTTGCGGTTAGTTGCGGTGGGGTGCGGTCACCGCGCGGTAGGGATAGACGATCGCGCGCGCCCACGTGGCCTGTCGTGCGCCTATCGGACAGCGTGGAGTACGCGAGAAGTTAACTAGACTTTCACGATCGGGTTTACCGCCAGGGAGATATTTAACCATTTGCCACATTTAGATGTGGCAATTAACTTTTTGCCACTGGACACATGTGGACCCACATGTCATTGAGATAGGGGTGGTAAATAGTTATTTGCCAAATCTAAAAATGGCAAATAGTTAAAAGCCCCACCGCCAGGGGAGACCGCCGTGAGGTCGCGTCGAATGATCCAACTGTTGGCTCCCATCGTTTTGCCAAATTATATGGGTCTGTTTGGTTTATTGGAAAGAGAAAATTGACATTAGCCATCGTGGGGTTAGGGTTTCCTCATAATGACATGGCTTTGTTATAATGCGATCTTCAAACGTACCCATCTTGCCACACTGTCATTTCAACCAATTTCGGTGATTTGCAAATGTTTTCCACTGTGATCTGTCATTTTTTCCCCTATGTACCTATCGCAGCGGCGATGAGCGGCTGCGACGACGACTAGGCGCACGGCTGCGGTGCGGAGGCCTCCTCGCCGTCGCCATCATCGTCGGCACCGAGCTTACGGCGGCGGCACAGGCTGCCCGAGCTCCGCAAGTCGCTGCTCTCCTTCGACGCGGCCACCGACTCGCCGGAGGCCTCCTGCTTCGTCGTCGCGGCCACGTCCTCCTCCACCTTGACGCTATGGTCACCGGCGTGCGCCGCTGGAGAGCCTCTCGTCGCTGTTCGCCGTCTCCGGCTTCCCCTCGCCGTCGCCGTGGATGCTTTGTTCTCTCTCCTCTCTGATGTTTAGTTCTTACCAGATGGAGATATTGCATCACTCAACCTCGTGGTGGAGCTCAGCGGCGCGTAGGCGGCGGAGCTCGTCCATCCACCCATAGGCGATGGGGGCATCAGGGCTGCCCTCCGCCTCATCCTCCATCTCCTCTTTCTCCACCGCCGAGGCCACGCCGCCGTCGCCGACGAAGAAGCGGCGGTGTAGCCGACGGAACCAAAGGCGACAGCTGGTGGGCGTGAGGCTTGGGCACACGGCGAGGGGGCTCCGCGTCTGCACCTCCTGCTGCCTCCGACGAGTCGGTGGCCGCATCGAAGGAGAGTAGCAACCTGCGGAGCTCGGCTAGCTTGTGCAGCCGCCGTAAGCCCGACGCCAATGATGGGGTTTCTACTAAAACAGACTGACAAGGGCATTTGGATCAAATCAAATAAGTAAAACAGTGAAAAACATTTGCAACTCACTAAATTGGTTGAAATAGCAGTGTGGCAAGATGGGTACATTTGAAGATAGCAGCATAACGAAGCTACGTTCGGAGATGGTATTTCTCCCTTGGCAAACGATGGCTAAATGTCAAGTTTCTCCCTTGGTAAAGGCTAGCCTAGCCTTACCTAGCAAGGCTAGTTATTCGGTTAAAAAAGCTAGCTTTTAGGAGCAAGCTAGCCTTGCGGGGCGAGAAAAATCTCGTTAGCCAGGGAGAGCCGATTCAGCTAGCCTTCAATGGCAAAATTCTACTCATGCAAAAAAGGTAAACGGGAAAGCTGTACTCGCACGAAAAAATGGGGATAAGAAGAGAGCGACCTAGACTTCTCCGAAATCAAAGATATTCTTCAACAACTCGCTCTAATCTCGTCGCCCTCTTCTCATTAAAATCGGCCTCTCCACCTACCAATAAAAGCCACAACCATCTGGGGGGGAATCGATCGGCAAAGAGGCAAACTCGTCCGCGAGAACTTGATCTACAGGGTAGGCACGTAGCCGCTGCTGGATCTTCTTTCCTCTGCTACACCAGGGCTTGTCCTCTTCTTTTTCAGGTATGTTCGATTACTCCATGAGAACACGAGCATAGTTCTAGGTGGGTGAACATGGATAGAGTTTTGCTTTCTACCTGATGTGGTCTTGTGATGTCAATAGCATTTACTGTGATGTTACTTGTTCAAAGAATTATCTAGAGTGCTCAATTGTGAATTCTTTTTTTTTTTTGGCTACTGCTTTGAGCGACGGGCAGAGTATTAGCAAAAGAAGACTATTCATATAGCCAATTCTTCTGGCTGAAATATATATTCCATCAACTACAGTGCACATATATAGATGATTTTAGGATGTTAGAAGCTATATAATTTTTTGTTCACTTAGAATCTTTAATTATCTTGTGTTCTACTATACATATACAATTGTTCCTGCTATTTTGGATGTATCACTAGTAGTACTGATTTGCACATATAACCATGGTATGTTCTTAATTGACTATAGATGGACGATAATGTGCCAATCAATAGGTGAATCGTTTTCTTCAATGCTTTTATAGTGGCATATTGGACACTGATCATTTATGTGCGTAACACTAGAGATCCAGTTAGATATTCATTGTTAGAGAAAAACATAAAGAGGATGGCCTATCTATAGAAACATTGCATTTCTGAACTGCATATGGGTAAATCGGTATTTTTCAAACTGTGTCATAATTGCGTACTATGAGACAATTAAGAGATACTTGGCATTGTACCATAGAGGAACAAATTGCCATGTTTCTCACTACAGTGGGTCATCATAAAAAAATAGCGATATCAGCTTCCATTTCATCCATTTCACAAGATCCGGTGAAACTGTGAGCCAGTACTTCAATCAAGTGTTATATGCAATCGGGCATCTTGGACCAGAAATGCTTAGGCATCGTACGCATGATATACCATAAAAAATTATGGGAAACCCTCGATTTGATCCCTATTTTAAGGTACAACCTTGTCTTGTTTGTTGTAAAATACAAAGCAGTATAGAAATATAATATAGTTACTTGGTCACTAATTGAATGATTAGGACTATATTGGTGCTATTGATGGAACCCATATTCCATGCAACATTCCTTCTCGAATATCAAATAGATTCCGTGGTACAAAACCATTTCCTACACAAAATGTGCTTGCTACAGTTGACTTTGATTTGATGTTCACATATGTGTGCGCTGGTTGGGAGGGTTCGACGCATGATTCTACAGTTTTGAGACATTCTCTTGAGCACCCAAATGACCTACGAGTTCCTGAAGGTTGCTATGCACCTACCATTTTTTAAACATGTACATAAACCTATAGCAATATTGATTGTGTTAATCATGACATAACAGGCAAGTACTATCTTGCGGATGCTGGGTATGCTGCTAGGAGAGGATTCTTGCCACCATTCCGCCAAACCCGATACATTTACGTTAATGGAGAGGCAACAAACCCAAGACACCAAATGAACTATTCAATTTAAGACATTCTTCTCTCCGAACTACTGTTGAGAGAGCATTTGGAACTTTAAAAAAACCGATTCAAAGTCCTTATGACTAGGCCATATTATCCATTTCCATCGCAAGTAAGAGTCGTCATGGCATGCTGCATTCTTCATAATTGGATCTTGCAAAATGGTGGCCTTGATGAGCTAGTATACTCTGAGCAATGTTGGGTTGACGAATATCCAAGATCAGTTGGGCGAGTTCAGCGTGATTTGCGAAAAGAGCAAAGGGAGATGCTCCAGTATAGGGATAATTTAGCAAGAAGGATGTGGGGAAATAGGAACAATGTTAGGCATGGATGATTTGTGTTCTGGAAACTTATGCTTTGTGCTGCTTTAGGAACTTATATACCACGGTAGTTTGTACAAAGAACATATGTGTGATTTTTTTTGCACTGTCAGATTGTACATTGGTTTTTAGTTGAAAAATATGCTTTCTTTGTTGGCATGATATTTTTTTTATTTGCAGCAGTATGGCTGGCAACAATATGGTTTGGCAGCCCCAAGTTGTCGAGGAAATGTTGCGATACTACAAGGAGAAGATACAAGCTGAAGGTAGACAATTTATTTTTAAGGAAGTGCATTACGAGGAGTGTGCAAAGCAAATTAATGAAAAGTATCACACAAAATTCACAAGCCGTCAAGTTTATCACAAATTCCACAAGTTGAAGGCTCAATGGAAGGTGATAATGGAAGCGAAGAATTTAAGTGGGGCCAACTTTGATGATGTTGAAAAAAGATTCCTATATGATGAGACGGAAGTTGTCCAAATGAATAATGTGAGTATCTACTAATCTTGCAAATATCTATCTTTTTTTACTATATTGTTCTCTATGTAGTGATATATTTCTTGGTTTCTGTAGGCCAAAGATAAAAGGGCAAAATATATAAATGTCCCCATACGTTGGTATGATGAAATGTAGTTCATTTTTCAAGACAAGCATGCAACATGAAAGTTTATTAATCTACAAGCACCATATGACCACCCAATGACTGAAGATACTGATTTTATTGGTGAGAAAAATGGCAGTCCTAGTGATGTTGATCCTTCTTTACATTATGACTCGGACTACCTTCCTGAGGAGAATAATAATAGAAGTAGCTCATCTTCAAAGCGTCCAAAAGGGAGCAAGATTGATAAAGGTAAAAGAGTTAAAGCTGATGATAATCCAATTCTTCACATAACCGGTGCTATGAATAATATGTCAGACACCATGCACTTCACACATGTGACACATCCAAATGAGTCCCTATTCAAGATAATCGATGAAATGGTAGAATACCCTACTATAGTTCGACTTCATTTGCAGACATATCTTGCCACTCATGAAAGCATAGCTGCCATGTTGAAAGGTAGGCCACTGGATGCTATTAAGGATTACGTGGCCCAATAGATAGTAGACAATTATCCAGCTCCTATGTGATTCATTTGCTGGGATGCTTGAATAATTATTGTGCATTGCAGCTAATAATTCCAATAAGGAAACACGCAGTTTAGATGTTTATTTTAATAATTTAGATGCTTTGTTAAAGAACTTTGTAATAAAGCACTATATTCTTTGATTGTTTCATGAATAATAAAACCATAAGTCTCATTTATTTAAAATTATTTTACTACCTATTTCATTACTTGTGTTTGTAATGTTCTTCTAACTAACCAATTTGTGCAAAAAAAATTAATGCAAGATTGTTAACATGGTTGGTATCTTTTCATTTTGATGAAAAACAAAATGGGAAGCAAAAAAATCATGGGCAAAGCAAGAATTGATCCAAACAGTTAGCCACTATTTCTTGCACTAGGAAGCAAACCAACCAAACACGGTGTGTACGGCAAGGCTAGCAAGCTGGCAATGAGATGATTTAGCTTTGCGGAGCTAGGCTAGCTAGGCGAAGCAACCAAACGGACACATATTTGCAAATGAAAAGTAATTTGTGAATAAAACTTTTATATACGTGTTTTTATCTAAAAGCAAAGGCTGAAAAATAAACTTCAATAAAAAAATCTTAAAATCAACTTCAAATTTAAAGTTGAAAAATTAAATTTGGCTTATAAGCATAAGCGAAAAGATGAGGCCAGTTATTTACCCAATTGCACAATTATTACTTCTTTTGATTTTGAAAATTGCAGCATTATTGTTTTGGTAAGTAAGAGCAAGTTCAGTTTTTAAATTGTATGAGACAAAAGGTTTTATTCTACGTTTTATTCCATTGATAGCGTCTTATTCCACCTTCTGTCATTGACGAACATAAGTTCTAAAAAATACCCTCATGTAAGCTAACTTATTCTAGAAATACCAATACCTTCTTCTTTCTATCCATTGCACTCCATTAGCTTATGTTGAAAGACTATTTTGCCCAGCAAGACTTTGAGAACAAGCAGTGAAGCGGACAATGGATCAATCGACGAAAGATGTCAATCTAAATTCTTAAATGAATTATCAATGAGAAAAGATCGATATACACAACATAAGAAATTGTTGGAGAAATGGCATGAGCTTTTGTCAGCTTGCTATCGTATTCAATTCAAGCACCATAACCGTTATACCCCCACCAAACCACCCCTGCTCTGATCCCGCCATCATGTTCACACCGAATATTCCATGTGCAGCATCGCTCGTCCAGATGCGCAAGCTGCCCAAGCACCACATCATCCACACGCATGGGTGCGCATCGATGCGACGCTCGAGCACTAAATCCACCATCGTCATGTGTACTTGCTGCCTTAGCTACCAGATCTGTGTCTTGCTGCCTCCGCCGCCCCTGGAGAGAACCGCTTGATCATCCTCCTCCCGGAGCTCCACACCTCCCGTCCTCACACCCTCCCCCTCCCCTTCGATGAGAACCAGCTTTGCACCACCTGTGTGCCTGCAAAGCCACCGAGCCGCCACTCCTCCTAAGCTCCGAACCTCCACCACCGCTTCTCTCCCAAGTTGGACGATGTTGTTGCTTCTACCACCGAAAGTCATTGCCTTCTCTCTCGAAGCAGACCCTATCCAGTTTCATTGCTGGACACTTTTGGTTTGTAATGATAGTGATGGCGGTTTTGGCTTTAAGGAAAAAAAGTGTAATTGAAAAAAAATGTCAGTGGCATTTCTTGAACAACTTAGCTATGGCGTTTACTATACCTCATTTTCGTCAATGCAAAATATATAACATGGTGCTTGTCGATTGCATTTTTTGGATTTTCTCAAAGTTTTACTATCATGCTCACATCTTTCCTATCAGACGTGCGTCAATTTCACATGATCTGGACGTTAGGCTTTTATATAGTTTGGCTCATATTGTTATGTGCATTTACCCAGAAGCTTAAATCCAGACGGAACATTATCACAGTTTCTCCTCAACTAAATTCATCAATCTATCCCTCATTTTTTCTTTATCTAACATCTCCATGGCTAGCACCCATCATCCTCATGTCGACGAGCACAACCACTAGCCAGTGTTGTCTCATCGCCGCATGCACTTGATATTGACGAGGTTATCCCTCTCCTCCTAGTATCCATGAACCATCAACATCGCCGCTTATAGACCTTTGCGGCTATGAGGCAAGCTGCCTTTCAAATTAGAATGACAATGGCATTGTTTTATTTCATATCGACAGCTTTCTCTACGGGCCCTACTCCCTCATTTTTGCCGGCCAAGTTATCTATCTTCAATGTAGGCTAGGTGTGATGAGTGGAAGGGAGTCTCGTGAAAAGACAATACTAGTTTCTATATAGATATATGAACCATTGCTCTTCACCACGCCAATATTCTCGTAATGGGCTATCTAATCAAAATTAATCATTTAGTCCTATACTTTCTTTAGGGTGAGTTCAACCTCCATCGATTTCTTCAATGAACTTTGTTTCCTGATCCGAGTTTCATTAATGAAGCATAGCAATCACATAGGAAACATTTCAATAACTATTATTTCACCATATATATCCTTGTACTTTGTGGTTTCTTTGAGACCCCGTCATCCTCAAAGTCCCAAGGCCACCATGCACAGTATAGTGGTAGCAAAAGGCAAGGTTCAAAACTACCAATAATACGTAAGCAAACCTGGGGAAGAGGGCAATCTAACATGGCAAATTGGAGCAACTACACGAAAGAAACAACTCCACATGGTTTGGTTGTTGGGATTCCACAACAAACCTACTCATAATTGGATTATATTATATGGTGGCTAAAAGATTTCATAGACTTTAATTAACACAACCTAAGAATGATTAAGACATGATCAATAATCAACCAAGAGACCAAGGGACAAACCCTTATTTCTAAACTACAATGCATGATATAAGAGTAAGAAAATTAAAGGTATGGATCATATTTATCACTAGATGAAACCCCGCGCGTTGCTGCGGGAGTTTAGTATGATAATAATAAGTAAAAATAATGTGTAAGATAGCTGGACAACATAAGATTATGTAAGTTAATGTGGTTTATGATAATTTAAATTTAAATAATATATAAAATGATGATTCAGATGTAAAAGTAAGGTGACATTACTTTATGAAAAAAGAAAAGTATTGAGATAGTTTGGACCGTAGATTAATCATCCAAAGGCTAAAAATAATTGAGATGATATGGATTAATGAGAGAAAAAAATGAGAGAGATAATTTAGACTATAGATTAATCATTTGAGCACTAAAAACATTTGATGTGATATGGCTTAATGAGAGTAGAGAGAAATAACATTAACTAAGTGAGGATGAACTATATAGTTACATAGCATATTATAAAAGAATGAAGATATATATTGAAATATAATGTGAATTATGTGGGATGATGATTTAACATGCTTGCATTTTAAAAGCTCTAAAATTTAATAAATTATAGATAATATTGCATGTTTGCATGATGTGTAAATTTAATGATTTTTAGTGGATGATAATGTGGCATCTTTGCATGTTAAGCTTTAGCAGTTAGTGGGTTATAACTTTATAGTAAGAAAGGATTTGCCAAACTAGGAGTGAAGAAGCCTCGCTCCTTAATTTATAGAGAAACAATGCTCTACATGTTGTTTATTGTCCTCTCTCTCCCACTCGGCTGGCTGGCCTCCTCGCCTCTTCAGGTGGCGACAACGATCTTCGAACAGCGGCATAGTAGGCTTGGAGCCGGGGTGGCCTTGGGCGGCCTCACAACGACCCTTTGCTAGGTTTTGGATTTGTTTTGCTTTCTCTCTTTTTTTAAAAAAAAAAAACATTGCAGTCAGGAGTCCTTACTTGGCCTTTTGCAAAAATCAGTTTTTGCAAGCAGCCTTCTTAGGAAGCTCGTATGCGAAAATGGGTTTACATGTGTGGTTGTGGATCCCACAAGTGAAAATGCGGATTTTTGAATGCCTTGCTATGTGTTAGTGGTAGGCAGCTGGCTAATAATTAGTAGTCCACTCACCCTCCTCATTTCTCTCGTTCACACAGATATCTCATCCTATGAGGCATCCTTAGAGCTAACACGCTCACCTTTTATACTTGCTCTAACCCTAACCCTCCCTCTTCATCCTCCTGATGCCGCCACCACCTCCTTCGCTGTTACCACCTCTCCGCCCACCAAACGGGCTGAAAATGTCTCGGAGCAATGTATAGCAAATTCGATTTGTTTTTTGAGAGAGAGCGAGCGAGCTACAAATTCGACTTCAAAATGCCGTTCGTTGCAAAATTTCCCTTGCACGTGCACACGAAGCCAGCCCACACTCCGCAGGCAATGCATCCGTGCAACTCGGATCAGATCCGCGAACCGGTCAAGGCCGCAGGTCGATCGTTCCCGCGCGAATCAGTGCTGTTCTCTTCTTGAATAACCTGTATTTAGACTGCACAAATGCAGGGCCACATGTGTCACGCCCCGCGCGCCGCCGTCCACTGAAACCGGCCGCCGCGCAGTCGCCTTCGTCTCGTACGTGCGTGCAACCAACATCCCGGCGGCGAGCTCGTACGTACCAAATCGATCGATGGAGTGTGCGCCGGCCGCTGTACATCTCCGGCGACGACGGCGACTATAGCTCGATCGAACTGATATCGTCCTGTCGGCTTTGCTCATGGTGCCGATCGGCCTCGCGATGAAAGTATAGTCGTTGGCACAAATGATCGTCGTCGGGAATGGAGGTGTTCCAGGACGCGCACTTCGTGCGGCTGCGGTGCTCCGTCGTCCGCTGCAGCAAGTACCTCGCCGCCGAGGACGACGGCCGCGGCGTCTGCCTGTCCGGCCAGCGCGGCGCCCACAACACGGTGTGGGCCGTCGAGCACATCACGGGGGACGTCCCCGGCGCCGCCCCGGGCCCCTACGTCCGCCTCCGCGGCGCCTACGGCCGCTACCTCGTCGCCACCGACCTCCAGGCGAAGGCGGGCCCCGCGCACGGCGTCACCGCCGAGCAGCGCGACGCCGCCCACCACCCGACGCCGCCGCCCTGGGCGTGGCAGGCGTTCCGCCGCAGGAGCTCCTCCCTCCTCCGCAACGGCACGGGGCGCTACCTCCGCGCCAACGGGAGGTACCTCCGGTGGCGCACCGCCGTCACCGTCGCCGGCGACAACGCCAGCCCGATGATGCTGTGGGCGGTGGAGGTCGTCCCGCCAAAGCCTGGCCGCGTCACCCTCGTCGATCGCCCGGCGCAGGTAGTATACATACGTCAAAAGTATTTTCTACACGACCACCTATGTGGTATGCATACAGTTTAAGCGGTTCTAAAAATATATAAATCTTTTTCTGATTAAACGGTACACGCACACACCATTATACACGACACACCACACTCACACCCCGCAAATGTATCCTGGCCCCTAACACATGCTCAAGGGACAAAAACGAATGACACATCCCTAATCTCACCAAAATTATGTTGAAAGTCCACTTGCAAATGCATAATATTCGTGGGCATCAGGATTTGAACCCTTGTAGGTAGAGTTATGCACTCACAACTCCACCACCATGTCACTAGTGTTTTCTCAAAATTTATAAAGAGATAGATTGTGATAATATAAGACACTATACAGATATGTAAGTCTAAATTCGATTTACACATGAAGAAAAAAGGGATAAGTCCATTTTACACCCCCCAAACTTTTATGTTTGTCTAAAATACACCCCCAAACTATAAAACCAGGTATTTGACACCCTCCAACTATCAAAACCGGACATTTTACCCCCTAAAGCTGTTTTAGACTGGTTTTGGAAGCCACGTCAGCATAGGTCTCACCAGTCAAACAATCCTCCTTTTTTTCCCCTAAGCTCGCTGAGAAGCCGGCGAGCTCCCTCCCTCCGTCAGCTTCGTCCCCGGCATTCTCCCTCCCTCCATCCCTCCACGGCTCCACCCACCCACCGCCCCCACCCCCTTGATGATCCATCAACATCCATGCTGAGGGGGGAGATGCTGTGGCGAGCAGCGAGCGGCGAGCAACGACGCGAGATATCATCTGATGGGGCGGCGCCTAGAGTAGCGAGAGGTCGAGGAGATCATTGCCGCCTCCCTCACGAATCACAAGCTTGTTCTCCCCGCGCGGGAGACGCGGACCTCGCCGAAGCCACACGCGCGAGGAGTCATCCCAGCATAGCGTCGTTGCCGCCTGGTTGAGGATGAGGAGTCGCTCAGGGAGGAGGAGCTCGAGCTCGCCGGCAACAACCAGCGCGCATCCGTCTTCGTTTCCGCCGTGACGGCGACGCCACGGCCCCTGTCCCTTCATCCCCGTGCTCGTCCCCACCCCTTCATCTCCCCATCTTCTCCAATCTTGGCCGAGGGGGTTGGCTCTGCTGTGCTCTTTAGCGGCGAGTGAGTAGAAGGAGGGAAGAGAGGGAAACGCAACGCCATATGATGGACGCGGAAGTCGAGGACGGTGCGACCAGCGGCAATGGATGGATGCGAAGAATAGGATCAACACAACCGGTGTCCACGAGCTAGCTCCGTAATCACCGGTTGCCTCGCTCCATCTGCACAACCGAAGACTTTGAATGGCATGTAAAAAAAAAGAAGATTGGACCAAAAACAATTAATCTGAATGCCATGTCATTTGCCACGCAGGCTAAAACCGTCTAATCTGAAACGAGGGGGTCATTTAAACGGTTTTGATAATTGGAGGGTGTCAAATACCCGGTTTTATAGTTTAGGGGTGTATTTTAGACAAAGGTAAAAGTTTGGGGGTTTAAAATGGACTTATCCCAAGAAAAAATAACAAATATTAGCTGTGATGTATGGGTACTATTCACTATCTAATTTTATTGTTTTGTTTCTCTGGTTTTGATCAAATTTAGTCATATATATTTGTCTGTAAATTTATATCATCCTAAGGGCACCCACAATGGTTATCTATAGGCTCTCTATAAGAGATTCATGTCAGCATATTTTCCTACTTGGAAGAGATTAAATAAAGAGAGAGCAAAGCTATCTACTAACCTGGAGATAGTCTATAGAGAAAAACGAGGCAATGTATTAGAGAGCTATAGATACACACGTAGACATACTATTGAGATGGTTTACTATTAATCTAGTCTATTGATGAGATGTACATGTTTTATAGATAGCACCTTACTTTACCATTGCGGGTGCTCTAAGTGATACTAGTACTATTTTTTTAATCTTTTATATAGCTATTTAAACCGAATGCAAATAACGATGTCATGTCATGGTACCCTTGTCGATTGCCTTGGATGATCTATCGCCATGCAAGCATATATGCAATTAACTCCTCTTGATGGATGGATCGTTGGGCGGACAGCTGATACGGCGGCGGCGAGGACCGGCGACGGAGGGGGAGACGAGCCGGGTGATCCGGTTCGTGAGGGGGGACGAGGGAGGGGAGTTCGAGGAGAGCGAGTGGAGGGCGTTGCGGGTGAACACCAACAGCCTGATGCACCTGCGCCTCACGCTGGCCAACCTGCTGGGCCACAACCGGGACGCGCTCCACACCACCGTCTGCGTCCGCGCCGGCGCCTACGCCCAGCTCTCCCCTCTCCTCGTCGACCTCCCCATCGGCAACGACCGCATCGACGTCGTCGTCCTCTCGCATGGCACACCAGGTCCGTCGGATCTTTCTCACCGATAATCGAATTGATATTAATTAATTGCTCGTTGATCTACTGTTGCAAGAGCTTAATTAGCTCATCATCATCATTCGTTCACTTGTTCGTATTACCAAGTGCATATATATGCCTGCCTGCTGATTTTCTTCTCTTCTACTCGATGTACTGTTGATGAAATTTCAGCGGAAGATGCGTTGAAGTACCCCTGTGTGGATGCTTGATCGAGCAGAAGAAGAATAGCAATAAGGTGTCCTGACACCTGACATATATATATGCATCGACAAATTAAAGCCAGTGCTTAATTAATCGGGCATCCGCATCCTACAGAAGTGCATAAGATCAAAAGATGACGGACATTAGGATTTAATCTGCTCTTTTTGTGTCACTTGGATATATAAGTACTTGGATTAGTTGCTTCAGTAGTTCAGTTCAGTGTAATCCTCGGTCATGGTGAATATTGTACTTAGAGATTGATGCACATACGCATTATTAATGGCAAATTTATTGCAAAACTACTTATATGTTTATTGTCAATTTAAGCACAAAACTATAGTATTTATAGCTCCAATATAACAATAGTGCTATAGATTTAAACCTTAGAATATATAGTTTTGTGATAACTTTAATATTAAATATTTAGTTTTGTGATATAATACCTTTAACCTATAGTTTTAGCATAATTTGATCAAAATATATGTAATTTTGTGAAATTTACTTAAAATATTTATAGATGATTGTTTGAATACCTTTTCTAAAACTACATCTTCAACTTTGCAATATTTAATTCATCTGTTTCTATCCTCAATTAAATATCACAAAACCAGATACTCCATAGTTCATCAAAATTCTAGAAAAGAAGGGAAGCTATAATTTTTTAAACCGTGTTGATTTTTCAAGGAGATGCCCCTTGTTTGTTTAAAACCATTCAAATATCTACTATTATAAAAATTGAAAATGTTTATTGTCGAAAGTTTTCATACGTTTCTCCCCAGGTCCGAGTTAGAATCCCGAATTCCCGATTGATTTCATCCATCACCATTTCTACCGAAAGTTTTTTGTCGTTCATTGTTCCTTCTCCTACTCGGTTTCTGCATGATTTGCGTAGCGTGCATTGTTCCCGCCGAGCGAAACAGGCTCGCATAGCTTGCATTATCTCTCCGCTTTGTCAGCATGGTTCAAAATTCCGGAACAAAATTTCCAAAATTTCAGAAATTTTGGTTCTATCGGACCCCCTCCCGATATGATATTATTTCGGTCGAAACATTAAAAATAAATTTCATTATTTTGTGAATTTGGCAATATATTATTAAAAAATGAAATAATTTCGGACCAAAATTTCAGTATATCAGCACCCCGATACAAATGTGGAAAACGAAAGATTGAACCCTGTTCGTCAATCGTTCACCACATCGTCTCTGATTCTATTTCATGTACCGTACGTATGCTTTATTGTCCTAGACGCGACGCCCACGTTGAACATGCCGCCGCCGCCTATCCAGCTAGGCTGAGCAAGATCGAGGCCAAGGAGGACACCGTTCCTTTGGATACACATGCTACTCTTCAAAATCTCGTGCCCGGCAATTAAATAACAAGTGAGCTCGTTCCTAACTACTTCTTTATGTGTTTTTGAGAATAGATTATTACCTAATGATTTAACTATGATTAGAAACTATGGAGAGGACCATGGAGTACTTGGAGAGTGGTTAAGAGATGGACAAAGTCATCATGGACGTTCAAGTCAAGATGGAGGTCCAACTCATATTAAGTTCGAGTCCACATAGGTCTCTAGGAGCAGTCCACACTAAATTCGTCGCCCAGGTTGTACTCGGACTCCGATTTCGATGTTCTACATATGTATGGAAAACTAACGAGACTACATTTCTAATGAACCTGGTCCCACGTCAAAATTCCTTCCGAGTCAATAGCATGTTGTCGAAATAAGAAGACATTTAGAATCTGTCCGAGTGCTGCGTCTCCGTCTTCGGGCCCGTTGGGTCGAGTATCGTGTCGGACTCCAATAGGGACGCATCCAGGGGACCAAGGTCGACCCTAGAACCTATATATCGAGTAGCCGTCATTGAGTCATGGTGGCGCGACCGATCCCATTCACGAGCACAAACCACTAATCGTGTCGGTTGTTGGCAGCTCACATGCTCAAGGCAAAGGAAGTAGGAAGTGAAGGGCCATGACGGTGTTTGGCAAAGGAGGTAGAGGAATGTGCTATTGATGGGCAGAGGACCTCGCCAGGCTTTCGTCGAAGTTTGTGCGTCAGGATACACCGAACTTTGTTCGCCTTTTTATTTTGGTATATATCAGATTTGGGTTAATGGGCCTCTACACAACCCATGTACCCCATTTGTGCCTGGTCGACATAACACTTCCCAACATCTCACTGGATCGTGCCTGAACTCTAGCCTCAACATGTGGGCCAACACGACATAACCCATTTGGTGAATTGTGCCTAATCAAGTAGTGCCCAAACATATCTATTATTTATTATCCACCATCTTATAACCCTATAAAAGAAATAAAAACCCACCATCTCAAAGATCTACTTCCTCTGTCTCATAAAAAACGAATCTAGGAATATATGTGACACATCATAGTACTACGAATCTAGATAAATTTGTCTAGATTCATAGCACTAGGATATGTGTCATATCCGGGGTTGGTTTTTTATGGGATGGAGGAAATAGTCTATAGCCTCCGTTTGAAAAATAGAATTAGGATCGATGGATATTATGGCCGTTTTTAGTTCCTCGTCAATTTTTTTTACGTATACGGACACACATTTAAAGTATTAAACGTAGACTAACAACAAAACAAATTATAGATTTTGTATGTAAACTGTGACACGAATCTATTAAGTATAATTAATCATTTATTAGCAAATGTTTACTGTAGCACAACATTATCAAATTATAGCGCAATTAGGCTCAAAAGATTCAGATTCGTCTCGCAATTTACATATAAACTGTGCAAATATTTTTTTCTATATTTAATGCTCCATACATGTATCTAAATATTTAATGTGACGAATTTTTTTTTTAAAGTTTGAAGGAACTAAACAAAACCTATTTCCGTTTTTAGATTTGCACCGTTTTGGCAGGTGAACGTGATGCGCAATCGGGGTGGACTGAGTGCTTGGCAAATTACTAAATTACCCTCGCCATTTTTGACGTATTGTTGGCCTCTGCCGTGAGTTATCCGTCAGTCTGCCAGCCGCCGCCGCCGCCGCCGATCCCCATCCATCCTGCGAGGCGCGAGCGAGCAGGGCGCCGTCGTTCGTCATGCTGCTTCCGCCGCATCCTGGTGAGCACATCCTCCGCCACCGCCGCCTGCTGCGCCGATCCCCATCCATCGCGCGAGCGAGCGAGCAGGGGTCGCCGTCGTTCGTCCGGCTGCTTCCGCCGCATCCGTTACCGCACATCCTCTTTCCCATCTCTCTCTACCCACGCTCTCTTCCTCGAATCTGCGTTAACCGTAGCTTCTGTTGTAGAAATTTGCCTTGACCTTAATACCATCTCCCATGTTAGATCCGCCACTGCTAGTGGTAGAAGCATTCTCTTCACCAAATAACTAGCTCTATGCAAAGCATCCAACCATTTTAAGTGAAGATGAACCAACTTAGCTTTTCTGTTCATTCACTGGATATATAATTTCTTCCTTAAGAAACAACACGATAGCTAAAGCACCAACGAGATACAGGATATTTAAAAGAAAATGTAGGTTTTCAGCAAAGTGTGTTTGACTTATTTACTAAGGATCCTATGCTGAGTATTTATTTAGAGGGCTTGTGTCCAAATTTATTTGCTACGTGTTTCTAAGGCCATTTCCAACCCAATAACTAGGATGGTGTCTATAGCATTAAATAAGATGCCAACTAGGATGAAAAATGATATGGCAAGTGAATAAATGAGGAAAGAGAAGGAAACCATGTCTTGCATGAGACATGGTTTCTACACAACATCCAAGACATCATGTGAGATAAGTAGCATTAAATTTAAGTATGGAATAGTGGTGTTTGCATTGGAAGAGTAGTGTCTAGTACTAGTTTCTTGATGATGTGGAGTTTATGGAAACTATGTCTAATGTCTTGGGTTGGGAATAGCCTAATTAGATTGCTGATGAATATGGGTAGCGGTATCTGCTGGGTTGTGTTGTACAGTATTTTAATTTCACTACTATTCTCATTGGTGTCGAATATATAAAGGAATGTGATGCGAGAATTGGCTTTCTCTTCATTGTCAGTAGTTGTTGGGTGCAGATTCCTTGGGACGATGAATTTGGTTGACTGACCCACAGTTAGCTATAAACATGTTTTCTATGCAAACAAAAGGAGAGTAAAAAAACTGGATGATATTAGTCAATGTTGTCCTTCTATGCATGAACTATTTGGTTAGTTGACCACTCATACATTTTTTTGTTATCTCAATTTTCTGACAGATATTTATACTCATTGACGCTTGATTGCCCAAGTTTGGTGGTAAACGTGAGTCTCATGGTTCCAGTGACAATTTTATTCAGCATCGTGCATCATATCTGGTTTTTTAACTTGATATAATTCTCGCGAGAAGAAATTCTACTTCCAACATTTGAATATTCTGCTGAATAAATTTTCTCATCTATTGAATGAGGCTGGCTGCTTCTTTCTTACAATAGCATCAGTTGTTTGTATACACAAATAGAAGTGGTTACTCTAGCCAGACTGTTTATCTGTACTTTTTTTTGGCCGAGCTTCTTGCACACCCAAGCACATCATAGGCCTCTACAAACATGACTTGCTTATTTTACTGATTCCTGTATTTGCATTGAAGTTTCTTGCTTGTGCGGTTCTCAACAACTAATGGATATCTGTAGTCCCTTTTCTTTTTCTTTGTGCGCGTATGTGTTCCACTTTTCTATCTTGGGTGGTGTGCATTACCTCTCTAGTTATGACTGACAAGTGCTCTGTGCTCCTACCCTATTTGCCTTTGCAGCTGAAATCTGTTTACGATGAAAGTGGAGGAGAAAAAAAGATCTATAACAGTTGCCCCCTTCGAGTGTGCTTGGGATGAGGAGTTTCGGTTCAGGGAGACTGGTCGCGGGTGCATCACCTTTGAGGCATCTGCACACAATGATGTTACCCTGGTGTTCCGCGAACAACCTGGGAGCCAGCATTATCACTACAAAATGGATAACAGTCGTCACTACATTGTGATCTTGGGCAGCCATAGGAACAAAAGATTGAAAATTGAAGTAGATGGAAAGACTGTTGTTGATGTTGCTGGCATTGGCCTATGTTGCTCCTCGTCTTTTCAGAGCTACTGGATCAGCATCTATGATGGACTGATAAGCATCGGGCAAGGAAGACATCCAAATAACAACATCCTGTTCCAATGGCTTGACCCTGATCCCAACCGAAATGTTCAGTATGTGGGACTATCCAGCTGGGACAAGCATGTTGGATACAGAAATATAAGTCTTATGCCATCAGCTCCTCAAAACAGCATCCTTTGGAGCCAAATTGAGTGTGCATATGTTGAGCCGGATGGTGCTGGAGGGCATACAAGAAAACAAGAATCAAAAGATGGCTTAGACCAAAGGGCACTTGCAAACTTTCTAGAGAACTGGGATTTCTCAGATTCTATATTTGTGGTTGGCAGCGAAAGAAAGGTTGTCCCAGCTCACAAAGTTGTCTTGGGTTCTTGTGGTGATTTCCCTTTTAACCTGATGATGAGTCGACCAGCTATTGAGCTTCCATCTGTCTCCTACCCAGTTCTGCACTCCCTTCTTGAGTACATCTACACAGGTTCTACGCAGGTATATTTGAGATGCCAACTTTTGAATTTAAGAAAGGGTGGATACTGAAATTATTGATTGCTTTTCTGTTGTGCTGACTATTTGGCTCAGATTTCGGAATGGCAACTGGTTTCACTGCTGGAGTTGAGTTCACAATTTAAAGTTAAACCATTGGTAATGTATTGTGAAGAAATTATTGGCTGTTTGAAGATGAGTGATGCAGTTTCTGAGTCTAGCAAAAAAATACAGTTATCAAGTGGTGGTTCTCAAGCTCATCAATTTTATTATTTCCCTTTCAAAGCTCCATTAAATACACAGAAAATTGAACAGTTCCTTGTAAATGGTGAGCACAGTGATGTAAATATCTATGTAAATGGACATGGTCTTGTTACTCATGCTCACAAACTCATCCTTAGCTTGTGGAGCATGACATTTGACAAGGTACAATTTTCTTCTCATGCTGTATTTCTTTATGTTTTTATTACTTCAAAATATTCATATTTCAGCAATATGCTTCATATCTAACTTATTGCAACCAAAGATTGAGTCATGAATGCACAAATGCAGATGTTCACAAATGGAATGAAAGAAAGCAGTGCTTCAAATGTATTTTTCGAAGATGTTCCCGTCGAAGCATTCTTTCTCCTCATCCAATTTATGTACAGTGGGGAACTTAAGGTGGATATCGAGGAAATCACACCAGTGTTGGTTGAGCTGCTCCTATTGTCAGACCAGTTTGGGATCACGGCTCTTCAGTTTGAATGCTGTAAAAGAATTATGGAATTCCTCTCAAAGGTACCTAATGTTCTCTCTTTTATAGAGCAATTCACCAACAAAAGTTACTGGTGCAATTTACCTGTCACTATTCAAGACTTAATTGGGGACGCGGTGGTAGTGACAATAAAAAGTGGAGGCTTTGCCTCATAAATCACATATATGAGATATTGATACAATTCCGTCTGCATTATGCATGCAGGATTCGTGTCCTACAGGAAGAAGCTCATCCACCAGGGCTAATTTCTAGTTTTTTTATGGGATAATTGGATATGGCTTCTGCAAATTTGGTGAATTTGCTAGCTGGTTCAGTGTAGACTTACCCCTGAAAGTTTCTTGCAGGACACAGTATGTTCAGTTCTACGAGCAGTTTCGTCAATTCCATCTTGTAAACTGCTTGAAGAAATGTGCAAGAGGAATTTTGCAGAACACTTTGATTATTGCACAACTGCTTGCACAGACTTTGTGTTGTTGGATGAGGCAACATTTAAGGATATTCTTCAGGCAAGTTGTACTACTGCTTCCATTTCATGAACTTCCCTGCTACTGGACCAAATAAAAATAATGTCCTCGAGAACATAGATAAAGGTGCCCATCAAGATTGAGCATCATATGAAGCTGTCCAGTTTCATCATTAGTGTTACATTTTACTTGACAAATGAAGATGGCTTTCCTTAGTTTTCGGTATTGCAACTTTGCTACTTTTTCTGGCTGTAAGGTTGCCAGTTAACGGTGCCCCTCCCAAAAAAAATACTTGAACATTTGGTCATTTTAAAGGATATTTCCTTAAAAATCCTACAAATTTTCAGATATAGTCGGTCAATGATCCCATGCATTCAGAGAGAACAAGTGAGTCGTCGCAAAAAAAAAAGAGAGAGAGAGAGAGAACAAGTGAGTGCTATGAATACAGGAGAGATTACGAATGTTCTATTTGACTTCATTTTGTCAACATACTAATATGAACATTGGTATGTTTATCTGGTTTATATATCTTAATCTTGTTTAATATTATTATAAACAAATGAATCTATATGGATGTGTAGGCTAGATTAGTGCACATTGTAAAAATGATATGCATAACACATATGTCCTACTTAATTTCAGAGAATCAGATTATGATCCTGCCAACATTGGTCATATTAGTGCTAATTTTGCAGCATGGGCATATGACTGTAACATCAGAAGAGAGGGTTCTGGATGCCATATTAACATGGTGCATGGAGGCTTGTGACTGTTTTAACTGGACCTCTGTGCACGAGCTCTTAAGCACTTCAAGACCAGAGAAACTCTTTGGAGGGAGGCTCACTGCCATCAATACTTTGCTACCATTTGTGCGGTTCCCTTTAGTGCAACCATCTGTCCTTCACCTGGTACTGCCTTCTCTTGTTATATTGTTCTCTTTTTCTAATAATAGGGCCAGGTGTTGTGTCATTCAATAAAGGAGATGGGCAACCATGCTTGTCCTAGGAATTGAGCAGGGTGTATGGGGAGATTACAGAGCCTATTTACCACTATGTTGTTGATTTGTTCCCTCGTGTTATTATACTATGGAGCACTTGCCACCGTAAGTTTTTTTTTCTTTTTTTTTGCTTCTAAAATTACCCATTACTTCGCTGCAGATGGAGAAAAGTAATCTAGCAAAAAACATAGAAGCGTTCAGACAGTTGGTTAGTGACTACTAGCTCTCCAAAGTTAATTGCATATTAGGGATCATATTTCATACTTTCAGTTGGTTAGTATTCTGCACAGGAAAAGTACAATTGATTTACTTTCTGGATCACAGGTTGCAGAAGCCATTGAGTTCTCTAATGCGGGACTACGGATGGCAACAAATACATGGTGAGTGTTGATGCTTTGATCAATACAGAGTTGTTTTTTCTTTACTAACTGTTCATCAACCTCAAAATTCCCAGTGAGAGATTTCATCATAGACGCTCCAGCTATAAAGAGCTTCAGTATATTTCGGATGGTGATAACAATGGTGTTATCTACTATGCCGGTACATCATTTGGTAAACACCAATGGATCAACCCTGTTTTAGCCAAGGTAAATATGGTTATGCTTTGTTTATGTATGAGGCCATTACATGCAACAACTTTAATCACTTATGGCTCTCTTCTGTAATTAGAATATTACAGTGACAGCGAGCAGCCCAAATTCCAGGTACACGGATCCAAAGGCTTTGGTTTCAAAAAATTACCAGGTATTATTATTGGGAATGGTAAAAATAGCAGTAAAACTTTACTAAATCTTGCTTGGAAATTGGAACGGGTTTGACATCTAGCTACTTCAGGCGACTTGTTTTGCTGGGCCTCGTCTTGAAGATGGCAAGATGTGTTCTTGGTGGATGGTAGACATTGGACCGGATCACCAGGTTCTTATCTGAAACAATGCTCGTATTTTCTCAAACCAGCATCGGGAATAAACTGTATCAACACTTGTCCAAGTTTATTTACTTCTCTTTTTGCAGCTTATGTGCAACTACTACACGGTGAGGCAGGATGGCTCCGCGACCTTCATGAGGTCGTGGGTTCTTCAGGTAAACCATTTTCCTTTCATTTGTACCCTGACCCTGATGGGACCACGGATGTTTATGAGAGTGAGGTACCTAAATCTTGTTGTGTGCGGCGTTCAGGGATCAATGGACGGCCGTAGCTGGACTAGCCTGCATGTCCACGAAGACGACCAGACCATCTGCCAGCCTGGCCAGTTCGCGTCGTGGCCGATCACCGGCCAGACGGCGTTGCTGCCGTTTCGGTTCTTCCGGGTCATGCTGACGGCCCCGGCGACCGGCGTCTCCAACACCTGGAATCTCTGCATCTGCTTCCTCGAGCTCTATGGCTACTTCCGGTGATTGGGACAGCTTTGCTGCACACCCCTGAGAAGAGATCGGCAGTGAGCAATGATCTAGCTAGGTGGCTCTGTAATCCGGTGTGTTCATATCTGCACTAGTAAAGAACTTTTCGTTTTAGTTTGCTTTGGTCACTTTGGTTTTTTTTTTCTTTGCGGTATAATTACCATAGAAAAAGTGAATAATGCTTATACGTCCTTGTAATACACATGTGTCATCTGTAAGTTGGTACAAAACCGTGATTACACGAGGAATGCTTGGACGAAGGATCAACGAGTGAAACCATGGGAATCATAGAAAACATGACACGTTTCGGTTGTTTGGGTGGATTACTCGCTTTGGCAACTTGTATGTGACTGTTCTACCAGAATATGGCACGCGGTAGTCGGGTACGACAGGTACGGTTAGTGACTACATATGTCCGTGCCCGTGAGGTAATTCATACCCGCGAGCATGCCCGTTAATACATGACGGGCAAGGAACACTACTAATATCCGTTGCCATATGTCCGTGGGCATACCCGTTTACTTGTTCACAGTTTAACACTTCAACCACAAATCTCCATAAGTAGAGAGACATTATCCCAGTTTAAAGATAGGGCATAGTTGTACCAAGTTCAACAATACAAGCATTATAATTTCATCAATACTAGATGGTGGCATTTATACTAATTTGACTGAGGGACCAAATGACAATTGGTTTTTGCGGGTAAGCGGGCAAAGCGGGCAAGGGTAGTGACTACCCATGCCTGTGCTCGTATGCTCGTTGGGTACAGGTTTTGACCCAATAAAAAAACCCATGGATACTAAATGAAGAACAAATCCAACTCTATTAGGATTTTACCCATGGGTAAACAGGCAAACATGTTAAATTGCCATCCCTAGGCACGCCGCAGCTCTGGTTTGCAGCCAAATGCTTGCCTTGAAAAGTCAAAACTCGTCTAATTTGAGTTGGGCGAATTTTTTACGATGGACCAAACAGCTCTCACATCTTCTCGCATATATCAATTCATGTCCTACAATATATGCATTAAGGCGGTATTTGGCGGTGCCTTGCTGCTTAGCTTTTGACTTGTCAGTTGTAGCTAAAATTTTAAAATTAATGTTGATTTTGAGGGGGTTTTATCGTAGTTTACATTGGTTTTAAAATTGATAAGGGCACACATATAAAAAATTTTACCTATAAATTATTAAATTACTTCGTTTGCCTTTTCATGGCAAAAATTTTTACCTATAAATTATTAAATTACTTCGTTTGCCTTTTCATGGCTTATCAGTAGTTGAGAATAACAATGAAAAGTCAACAAAGCATATCAATTTTAGCAACTTTTTCAAACAACTAACAGTGTATATTTAAGAAAACTTTTTATATAAAAATTTCTTAAAAAAATAAACCCAAATTTCTACTCCCTTAGTTTCATAATGTAGCATATTTATATGAATGTGGGCAATGCTAGAAAGTCTTACATGGAAATAGAGGAAGTAGTTTATAACAATTAATAATCTATGACGCTCTAATGATTGCCTCATTTTGCGTGTCATGGAGTTGCCATAGTTAACTGCATAAAAGAACTCAGCGTACGCTTATTTTCTTGCAAACATGTGAAAAAAATTTGTGGGAGTAGGAGGGAGACCCACCCCTAAGGCATATGTGTTGCTAGTTAATCAGCATGGAATTCAAATCAGGTATTATCACAACTTTTAAGAATTGCATATAATTTTAGTTGCCCGTTTCAATGGTTTAGTTTATACACTTAAAATAAGTATTTCGGTTCTACAGTTGAACTGGATAAACGTTTTGGTCGACCACTGAGTAGGCGGAACGAGAGCTCGAGCGATTCATTTACTAGTCAGTTTTTTTTTACCATGGTTGTCTATTGTTTAGCTGCAAATAGTTAGGTTAGATGTTGCTGCATAACTACGCCGTGTCCTGTGGGTGTCAACAAGTTGCTATTAAGTGATAATGGCAAAATATCATATCTGTGATATGTTTTGCTTCCATATATATTTGTATTGATTATCAACTGTTCATTTAAACTAAATGTCTTAGTGATATCATTCATCATCAGTAGTCTAATGTCTAATATATTTTGAGCACTGATTTTATAGTCGTTGATATCTAACTAAATTTTTCATTGTAGAAATTTCATATATAATGATTATAGAAGGTGAGACATAATCAACCATAAAAAATGGTAAACAAGTAACAATTCCAAAAGATCTTCTATTTTTCCTTGATTTTTGTGTCTACTTGCAAAGGTTGCTAGTTGAGCAGCTGTGCACTTGCAACATAGCAAAGCCAATGTCAACCTTTCCGGCTGGCGGCTGATCCCTTACGGTTTCACTGCCAGGTGGGCCCTCACATCCTCACCAGCTTATCCGGTTTAGTCCACGTCCTTTTCCTACATCCAGACCGCCCATCCGGAAACCAACGGTCACCACCTCACCGTCCCCCCAACCATAGGGTTACGGGCTTACGTCACCCTCCTCCCCTCGCGTGGCCTACCAGCCGTACGTCTCCCATCCGACGGCCCAGATGCTCCCACGTCGCTTCCTCGGACCGGTGTCCAGGTGGCCAGGTGGCTCTGACGCGCGCCTCGCCCCGAGCCCCCGACACGATAAACCCTCCTCCTTTCGCTTCCGCCGCTGCGGCGTCTCTCTCCCTTTCTCTCCCCCTCCCTTCCCTTCCCATCACCGCCGCGGAACGCGCCGCCGCCAGAAACCCTAACCCTAGATCGCGAGGGGTGGTGGGTGGCCGGGCCGGCGGGGGGTGGGGGGATGGCAAGCAAGTTCGGGCTCGCCGGGGGCATCCCGGAGAGGCGGGTGCGGCCGATCTGGGACGCCGTCGACTCGCGCCAGTACAAGGCTGCGCTCAAGCTCTGCACCGCGCTCCTCGCCAAGCACCCGACCTCCCCTTACGTCCTCGTGAGTGGACCTCTACCCTCCCCCTCCCTCGCTCGGTTTGTTTCTGGAGTAGCTTTGGTTGCGGTTTTGATGAATCTGGCGCGCCAATGGGCTAAGTCGGTGGTTGTTTAATCAGCAGCCGCGGTCACTGTCGCCGCGCCTGGTTTGTGCTTAGATGGTTTATCGGAGTGTTTTTTTTGGATCAATGGATACCTTACTAGTTTTAGAGATAGTAAGCTGGATGATTAGTTTTGCATTGCATCTGATTTATGGCTAGTTGACCAACTTGCTTGAACTAGTTTTTAACTGCTTGTAAGGACTTATGTTCTCATTTTGCCTACATTACAATTTGGAAATAGCTGTGTAGTTCATATTTGATTGCATTAGTGTCTGGTTGGGACGAAAATCCAATAGCAGGAGCATGTGAGCAGTCCTATGAAACAAACAGTTTGGATCAACTGAAGAAACCACTGGCATTTTTGAAGCCATAGTAGCTCACATTAATCCTTGATCCAAATTGCATTGCCACAAGGTCTTCAACCCCTTTCTTGGTAGGAAGTTCGCTATCACTTTTTTTCAACCAGGTTGCTGCTTACAAGGTGATGAAAGGATATGATAGGCTAGGACTGGAGTAATAATTCATTTGGTTACGAAGTTAGGATACGTGGTTAAAAAGGTTCATGACCATTGGAAGGAACATGAGATGAACTTGACATGAAACCAGGAGGGTGCAGGCTAGAGGGGCAGGGAGCAGCAGAGTACTGTTAGGACAAGCAGAGTTAATATTTTCTTTGGAGATGTTATTAATTATCTTGTAGGAAATAACAAACAGGTTATTTCTAGTGACTAGTAAGGCAGATTTAATATCCCAAATGGCAGAGATTTCATATTTGGATTAATTCATAAATACCAGACAGCAGGTATTTGGGCTTGAATTTGGTTTATTTCATCATTTTCAAGCCGAGCCTAGCAGCAAACTGAAATTTTATCACAATTTCAAAGCAAATGGCCTATTCCTAGCAGTCGGCAAGGTGTTAGCTTTTGATTTGTGGCAACAAGTTAATGCATTGTTTTGATAATTCAGAGATGTATAATCAGGCATTGAATGTATTTTATTCTGACACTATAAATTCTTGATTCACTTTGGATGCTGAGAAACTGACAAATTATCTATTTGGTTTATGTGCCTAATGTAAGTGCCATTGATTTGTTCCCTTCGTGACTGTTATAGATCTGATATGAAAACCTGTCTTCTTTTGTTGCTATGCTTTTGGCCCAAGGGATTAGCTCAGGCTTTTTACAGGATTTTATGCTCGCTGTATAGAGAATGCGATTTAACTGTACTTTTGAATTATCTCATTTCAGGCTCTCAAGGGTCTTATTTTGGAAAGGATGGGAAAGCCTGATGAAGCACTCAGTGTGTGTTTGAATGCCAAGGAGCAGTTGTATTCTGACAACATCTTTCATTTTGATGATCTCACTCTTAGCACCCTGCAGATAGTATTTCAAAGGCTTGAGCGATGTACGTTTGCACTTGGTCTTTTGATTATATCTCCTTAGCATCTTATTTTTTTCCCTGAATTATTTATGCATATGTTTGTACCAGTGGATCTTGCTACTTCATGCTATGAGTATGCTTGTACAAAGTACCCCAATAACTTGGAGTTAATGATGGGCCTTTTTAATTGCTATGTCAGAGAGTACTCATATGTGAAGCAGCAACATGTATGATGATATTTTTCCTGCTAGTTTGTTAATTTTTTTTTGTGCTTTCTTGTTCAATTCTTGACCACCCTGTTTTGTATCTTCTGCAGACAGCAATAAAAATGTACAAAACCGTTGGAGAAGAAAGGTTTTTGCTCTGGGCTATTTGCAGTATTCAACTGCAGGTGGGACATTGTAGTTTGTTATATCTCGACTAATGATGAGATCTGCATCTGCATTTATAGATCCAGTACTGTATAAAGACACTGCTATGCTTTTTATTACGGAAAAAAAGGGAACACTCTAGGTAGAAACAATAATTTCCTTGAATATACGGGTAAAATGATTGTTCTAGATGCATGGCCCAAGCCGCCAAGGAGATGCTCTTCAGGGCAGGTGAGAGGGAGTATAGAGGGAGTGGAGATGGCTATTTGTGCAGGACAGAAATGTATGAGAGAGGGGGAAGGGAGAGATGGAGAGGGAGAGGGAGTTTTTCATCTGGTGCATTACAATTTACACTACCAGAAGTATAGAGATGACAATTCTTGAACATGTTTAGCACCTTGGTACTAACTTATCCCTGCCATGACCCTTGCTATTCATTGAAAAAGACATTGAATTAGAAATCTAGTAGCAGTACTTGCAATGCCGTAGGCCCG